GCAGTTCAGGGGTTTTAATTAATGCAAAATTTAGCCAAGTACCAAAAGACAGTATACGAATGTTTTTTACAAAATATAGTATATTTACTACGAAAGTATAAACGTCATTCATTTACAGCAGGTTATTTCTGTGGAATGTATAATAATTTCTCTCCTTAATGCTTTGTTGCATTCATTGCTTTTCTCAATCCACCCACTGAAAAACGATAAATCGAGAGTTTGATTCTCGAAGCTTTATTGTAAACTATTGTTAATGAATTTGGCTAAGATTCATATACAATATATTATACTGATAATATATAATATTATACTGAAAATTGTTCTTCACGAACCTTACACTCATTTTTCCGTATTTAGTAAGCCTATTTGACTATTGACATAACTCCAGATTATGACTTAATGAAGTAGAATCAAATGTATCTTTACAGATAAGAAATTACTACTCTGCTGGATTTAAGGTAAATGTTAAGGCAACAAACATTTTAGAGGAAAAAAATTACATTCGCTGAAACAAATTGCATTTACATTGGAGATGAAATGTGTGTTAAAAATATCATGCAGATATCATGCAATCCTGATTTCATCACATATTTTCTAATTAAAATCCGTCTATTATTTTTAACTTTCGTTAAATTCAAGAGACTGGAAAAATAATTTAGTCAAAGACAGATGTTGTTGTGATGAATATTTCCACACAAATGATCGCTGATGTTTTCTCATTTAGTGCAATACTCTGTTGAAAGTTTGTTATTCATGGCAAAACGTTCATGCTTTTATCAGCCTTTTTACAATCAGCAGCAGTTATATCTCATTACGTTTTAAAGTTACGTTCTTATGATTTTATTTATTAATAAAAAATCTAAAAGTTTTCATATTTCATATTAAGTCCAAAGGTGCCTTTTTTTTTAACGTTTTGTGTGTTGCCCTTATTTATTAAATATACTGTTCTTTGCACTTAAACCATAAAATTCAGTTCAATAGCAATATTGCAAAATAATTTTTAAATGAGCATATCTTTAGCATTTCGGATACACAGTCTCGCGCACTGGAGATAAGATTTTTTTTTCCGTACAGTTGTACAGACATTAGGTATTTTTTGGAAGCAGGAGTCATGAAAAATGAGCAACGCTTTCGCCAGGAATCGAACCACAGACATATGCAATACGCGCCCAGCATGCAGACCACTACACCACGAAGGCACGCTAAGAAGACTGGAGAAATACCTTATACAGTATTTCCGTTGCTCGCTTTGAAATTGCTGAGTTTGTTATTCAAAGTTTCCTTAAAGTGTTACAAAATATGAAATCGTTACTAAAACGAATTCCAAATTCCAAATTAAGTTTTCCTGATTCCTATATTCGGTGGAGGATTACGTTATGCAAAATTGGATGGCTCTAGGTATCGTTGTTTTATCACAATGCGAGAAATATACATACATTTATTCAGATTCTTTATTGTTTAATTTCTTTAAATATAACACAGGGATTTAATATTTGGTGGCAACAGTTTGAAAATTGAACCGCCATTTAAAGTGAGTCAACGCAAAATGCCAAAACGAAATTAACAGCTGATCTCGGCAAATTGCTCCTTCGGGCTGAAAAAAGTGGGGGATCATTGTTAGCTCCACATGGCAAAGTAGCCGACTATCATTGTTAAGCTAGACTCATTTATGCTTTTAATTAATGAATTGCAAAGCATCACCTGGTGGCAGAAAGGTACTCAATCACTGGTTCACTAAGAGAAGTCTCAAATACCAATGGCAAAATAATGCTCAATGGACCACTTACGCATGGGGTTGGTAACAGATATTCTCCCGACCGGCAGTTCTTTGTTTTGCCCGGATACGAGATAGTGAAAAGAAAACAATAAATACTTGATGGAAAAGCTTTTCTTCAGATTGATATTAAAATGAATTTAAGAGAAAATGAATGTTTTCTTGGGAAGATAACACCACAGAAACAGTTACAAAGAGTGGGAAGCTGAAAATCCTTAAATTTTCAAAAAAAAAAAAAAAAATAATAATAATAATTTACTTGGAATTCATAATTACAGTAGCAAAAGGACAAGCCGGACACATATGATTAAAGTTCAAAAAGGCAATCTCTGTACATTACACGGGACATATTTTCGCTCTATGGGTACAGGACTACAAAGAAATCTGAATATCAAGTGATCAATATGTGAGTAATAAGCTGACATAGTTTTTTAAAAACAAAAATTATATTTTTCATTTTTATTGTTATGGCAAATCATACCAGGGCTATCTGCCTAACTTCGAGCGAGAGATAATTCCATGGAGGACCTTCTAAGAGAAACTGGCTTGTATACACGCTGCAAGTGAGAAAAATCGCGAAAACGCCCGTGCAGCCGATTCATTTGTTGGGATTCGAATCCCAGACCGAACTACAAGTGTTCAGCTACTTTGACGCTCAAATCATTGAAATAGATAAGAGTTTATTTACGTAGAAAACACATAATACTTGACTCGTTTTACCGCCGCAATGGATTCTGGAAGGAATCTGCCAGGAAACGAAAGAAACCTTTTTAGTTACAGATGCTGGAGAGACAGTAAGTTATTTCGAAGCAGGAGACTTGAAAAATGAACAGCGCCCTCGTCGGCAATCGAACCACGGACCTCTGGAATATGCGTCCAGCGTGCAGATCACTACACTACGAAGGCATGCTAAGAAGGCGGGAGAAATACCTTATATACTCACCCTTTTGAAGGGCGATTGGAGATTTTAGGGGAACCAGTCGCCAAAGGTGTGGAGAATCATCATCCACCACCCTTTTAGTTCGGGCGCCTGTAGAAACATTAAGTTATTTGGAAGCAGGAGACTTGCAAAATGAGCAACACCTTCGCCGAGAATCTAACCACGGACCTCTGGAATACGCGTCCAGCGTGTAGACCACTACACTACAAAGGCATGCTAAGAAAACTGGAGAAATACCTTATACCCCCAGCAGGAGAGAAGAAAATAAATAAAAATGTTAAGGAATAACTTATTTATCTATTCACATTGTTGCTCCGGATGTAAAAATCAAGAACCAGAAGAAGCTGGATTTATGCACAAAAGGGTTAATCTTTTATGTAACATTCTTGACCCCAGTACTGGCGTACGTACGCGAAACGAAGAAAGAATGCGAGGATCCGCAAAATGGCATAACAAGAAGCACTGGGCCACAGCCTGTCAAAGCATTGAGTCACAGCCAATCCTGGAATCGTATTTAGCGGAATTTATGTAGTGTCCCGACCAGGCAAATAAAGAAAGCAATTGCTTTCAATCTATTCTTGAAGCGAAGTCTCCACCGGAAGAGAAAGAACATAAACTTGTTTGTAAAGAGATTTTTTAAGTGGTTTTCAGAAAAATACCTAACTAAAACTAAAATACGTAGCTAATAAATAATAAGCATGTATGAAATAAGTAACTTTTTCCGATTTAAAGTTATCATATTTTTCTTCTACAAAATATCTCCAAACTGCGCCAAGGTGATCGAGTTAATACGCAAGTACCCGCGATTCCTGTGACGTAAAGTAAAATGCTGAGCTTAAATCGAGAAAGGTCTTAGACCCATCGAGTATTAATTTATTTTCTCGTTATTAATAAAACGACTGTCGAATAATTTATCCCTGAACTCGAAGAACGCAGTTTTAAAAATTTGTAACAGCGCTATTTTCAGTGTTACATGCTATGCATTCTTTGATAACTGAAAACAATTTTATGATAACTGTCACATTTCTGAAAGAGAAAAATACGATATTTTACAAAATTCATACAGGTAATGATTCTAAAATTTGTTCTTATATTTCAGAATGCGTAACTTATTTTTGCTTAGCTAATGCCAGCAGTCTTTTGGGAATATTTTCGTCCGATTTAGAAAAAAACTATTATGACACTAGCGGAAATATTTGAGAGTAATGCATTTAACAACAGACAGAACGACACCGCTGTAACTCTTCTCTAATAATGATTAAAAAAATACGGTCCACACTCAGACATTTTTCATTCTGACGCGCTATGGAACCCACATACAAAATTTCGATAAAAAAATAAACTAATTCTTTCTCATTAAATCAGCAACAATGGTACGCAGTTTTTAATGATTTTCGTCTTTCTAATCAAATGGTCGTAAAAGCTCAAGTTCCATTCCATATTCAATGTTAGTCGATTCAACGTGGCAAACAATTCGTCATAATTGATCAAAAATCAACGCGAATAAACACAAAAACAGACATTCTTCTTTATATAGAGACATTCTGTAAAAATTACAAATTTTTATTAACAGACTCTACGATTTGAAAGCGCGCAGTAGCAACACCTTTCGAAATGAAGGATAATTATCTCCAAAGTGCGAAACTGTTGCCACTCGGAAACAATGAGTCTGAAAATGAGTGTTTTCAAAGATTTTAATTGGTATCTCGGCTGATTGAATTCGTACGAAGATGGGAATAGTTGAAATGGCTTCCGACAAATTTTTAGACTCGTGAATGATATATTTAATGTTTGATAATGATATTTTTATTTCATTTTAGAAATTTTTTATTAACAAATTCTACCATTTAAAAGCGAGCAGTGGCAACACTTCTCGAAATAAAGCAGATTTTTATCTCCAGCATGCAAGACTGTTGACACTCGAAAAAATGAGAATGAAAATTAGCGTTTTCAGAGTTTTTAATTAGTATCTCTGGTTTTAAATACTTTTTCTTGGTGGGGGAGTCGGCGTCGACCTTTCCGAGGATCTAAAATAGAATTGTAAAGTTTGGTGACGGTAGCTACAGTAGTGACTGAGTTAATCGCGAACAAACAAACACACAGACATTCTTCTTTATGTATATATAGATACCGTATGTATATATAGATGTATGTATATATAGATAGATAAGCTAATTTGCTAACCTCAATAGATTAGTGTGGATAAATTAATTATTATTAAAGTATTAATTAAATTAGTTAAATTAGTGTGGATAATACTTTGAATAAAAACTTTATCAAACTCACCTTCCACCTCAATATAATAACTGCAAACAGTAGTAACTCTTAATTCCTTATCCGTGGCTTCGCAGAAATTGCGATGCACGCCTTTCGGTAGCTTCTTTCCCTGCAGCTCACAATTGGGGATTAGTAGATCGCCTTTCTCAGACACAAAGCTTGGAAGTCGATGAACTTCGACTTGAAAGGTTTGACCGACGCCTACAGCAACGGTCAGGTTGTGACAGCCAGACACTTGTTCCGGAGGCATGGCACCTGCAAGTCAGACATTTCTGTAATTTCCGGGATAGAACAAATAACGGTTGTCAATTAGAGCAAATAATACATCGAAGCCCTTAATTATTTGGGTATAATTGTCTGCTCTGCTACCGAATGTGAATAACTCAAAGGACACTGACTTTTGCATAATGATGTAAATCGTTTCTTTACCTATATAGAAAAGGGTTCAATTAATTATTTTCTGAACTTCGCGTATAAGCTCAATTATTTTAATTGCTACCTCAACGAAACTGGCAATAGTTTAGTTCCAAGAGAAAAAAAATTGCTATTGCTTGTTGTAAACAGATGTTTTAGTTTCTTCTAAACATCTTTTTTTGCAGAAATTATAAATAAGGGTTCATACAAAAAATAACTTTTTTGAAAAACCGGTTTTCGAATTCAGTATTTCCAAAAAAACCGGTTTTCGAATTTTTCTCAAAAAATAGAATAGGGAGAAATATTTTATTTTATTTACATAAAATAACAAGAACCGAAATCAATATCAAAGTCAAAATATTACAAGAATAAGAATTACGTATGCACATTACTCACACAAAATAGCGAAAACTCAAACAAAAATTTCAAATACAAGATTTATATTATTTTCACTAGTTTTAATTTCTTCTAAGAAAATAGGATTAAAAAAAAATAAAAAAAAAAACTACTTACTGAATGGTGGCTAGATCTTGCTCTTATATTAGACACAAAACTGCCTGAAATTGAAAATACTTTTTCTCTAGCTACTGAGCTTTTAGGCTATTCAAAAAACTTGTGAAATGATTTTTCTATGGCTTCTTTTAAAAGGGCATTACTGTGATGAGTAGTTTCTTCGATTTGCTCTTCATCAGAATCGGTTTCCACATAAGATTTTGGAAATATTCTAGACAATATCCTTCCAGATTACTTAATAATTTCGTTTTTTTTTTTTTTTTTTTTTAGCTAAAGAAGGTACAGTAGATTTCTTTAGCTTAAAAACCGGTTATAACCACGTGCAGTGCTGATAAGGACCACGTGTTTCTGAGATTCCTTCCCCTTTATTTTTCTTCCTTCTAGGTTTTTCTTTTCTTTCTCCTGATTAGGAGGGACCTTTAGCTGCCCTCGAAATCGATTGAGTGTTTCAATATACTTATGCTAAATACAAGGTTGTTTTTACGATTTTGATTACAGTAGATTTCTTCGCAGAACTAAAGCATTTTGTCGATTTTGCAAATACAGCCGAAGAATTGCAAATTTCTTGAATTTGTTCTTCTAAAAGTATATAATAATTTCAGACTTACTTCAGTGTGTAAATTTTTTAGTTCATTTAATAGAAATTCAAATATATCTTCACTTGTTAGTAAATTGATCTCTCATCGCCCTAAGCCTTCAGCTACTGGACGAATCGGTCTCCAGACTTTATGAAGTTTTAAAGGTTTAGGACATTGAGCTTCATTTCACATATAAGCAGATCCAATATCATTCATTGCTAAACCAACACATTCTTTTAATGCCAGAAATCTTCCAATCTTGTCATCCATACTATCCCGTTTTTGTTTTGCAGTCAAGAAATAAATTTAATTCCTATCTTTTTAATATATGGTGTTTCTTACTAGAGATTTCAAAATTAATTTTTATGTAATAATGTCAAAAATAAAACCGCTTTTCTTAATAAAAAAATGACAAATTTACAAGCATCCCAAGGAATTTGTAATACAAGCATCCCAAGGAATTCACTTTACTTTATAAATTTACTTTACAAGCATCTCAAGGAATTCACTTTACTTTATAAATTTACTTTACAAGCAACCGAAAGAGGAAAATGACAAATGTGACAAATTTACTTTAAAAACCGGGTTTGAAAACCCGTCATAACCTATTAGAAATAGTTAAAATCAAAACTCAAAATAATTGCTTGATAATTATTTATTGACTTTCTCGGGAAAAAATTGATTATTCTGCAGGTTCCTTCCGTTATATCTTTTTCAACGTGCTCTGGACAGCTGCGCATTTCACATCATTCGCATAACTCGGCGACGTGCGTCTACCCCGAAAATTTGCATCATTTTCTGGGCACTCCTCCTTTGTGTTGCATTTTCTATGTCCGGTAGTGTACTGAAAAATCGTTTCTTCGAAGCTTTCCCTAAGCAATGCTTGTGATTACGAAGGAGAGAGGAGATTAGGGGTTCTCAAGATTTTTTGCCCCATGCACCCCTTTCATCACTGCTAGACTTGATCCCCCCTCCTTTCCAAAACTTAAAAAATAGGTATACATTTGTTTAGATTAAGATAAATTTTTAACACGTTTCGTCAATTAAATGACAGAAGTATTGGAAAAGTTAATAAAAACCATAACCTGAAACAAAGTTGTTTTTTTTAAATATATTCATAACCGAAAACTAAATAATAAATAGCTACATAAAAGATTGATCGCAACCCCCCCCCCCCCCCCCCTGAAACTGTCACATTTCCGCTGGTTTACTTGTTGTCTGAAATTAAATCACCAACATTTAAACTCCCAGAACTCACAAAAATAATGCAATAACTCACCACCTTCATTTGTAGAGACATTAGGTTCTTTTATATGTAGGAGATGTGGAAAACGAGCACTGCCATCGCTGGGACTCGGACCTCTCGAATGCGTGCCGAGTGTGCTGACCATTACACCACGAAGGCAAGCTAAGAAGGTGGGAGAAATACCTTATATACTCCCCGTTTTAAAGGGCTACTTGGGATTAGGGGAATTATTCTCCAAATCCTGGACATGAAAAATTATCATCCACTACCTATTTTAGTTCGGGCGCCACTGTAAAGAAATGAGGGTTTTTTAAGAACCATATGTAAAAAATGCGTAATACACTCACCGGGAGTCTAACTCGGAGCTCTGGAATACGCGCCGAGTGTGCTGACTATTACATCACGATGGCATGCTAAGAATTCGGGAGAAATACATTTATCATTTGAAATGAGCAGGCAATGGATTCTCGCTGAAAGATCTGATCAGAGAATTTCTAGAAAGTTTAAACAGCTCTCTTTTGTAGCTATGGGTGTCTTAGAATCAAAAGAGAATTAATATAATTTTACCTTTATAAGTAAATATTGCAGCAAGCCATATTCCCTCTCTCAGAATCATGCACATGGAGTGTCCTGTCGATAGGAATGACAAACCAGCTTCGTATTTTCAAATAATAGGAAATTATTCCCCCATCGTATTCGAAAACATACTAATTTAATGAAAGTAAATAATTCCTAAACAATTTCCAAGAAATAAAATGCATTTAAGAATTGTAAAAACGATAAAAGAGCATTTTCCTCGGGAAAAAAGGAAAAATTAATCATGACTGGTAAATATCGGGGGGGGGGTGAAAAAATTCCCACGAACAACAGAATTTCACCATTCCTCATACATAGTCACGCGCCATAAGTATGCAGTTCTGTATCAATTTCCAGGGAGAATGGCACGGAGGTGGTTCGGACGTCTCCAAGTCCTCTTCCCCAGCCACTAAACTCTTAAGAACATTTTCATCTCAGCCTATCTTTTGAATATCTTTTTGCCACACAGGCCCTATAAGGTTACAAACATCCAAAGAAGCTCTAGTTGAAATTATTCAGCCAATCTGCTGGCCTTGGTCTAATCAATGAGAAAAAACAGTTTCTGGCTGATTTCTCTACTTACTAAACTAAATCACTGCAATTAAATTGCTATCGATATCAAAAAAGGATATTCTGAGAATTTACAACTGATTAAAGAGAAATCGTAAGAAATCATTAAATATCGTACTTGAGGAAATTCCTTGTATTTTCTATTTAAAGATAAAAAATTTAAATTCCAGTTAAAAAGAGATATTAATTTTTTATTTTTACAAAAATACTGTTATGATTTCGAACATAACACTGTATTGAGAAAAGTGCAAATTTTTCCCTGAAAAGTTTTGCGTAGAGGGCCAATCTCTCTTCAACGAGCCCTGTTGTGAAGTTTCATACATTCTGATTCTCTACATACTACTTTCATGAAGCTGGCTTATTACGAACAAAGTATTATAACAAATCAACTGAACTGTAGCAAATCCTTTAAATTATAGAATAAGAAATTGACCTGCTTTTAGTGGTGCTGCCACCTAGGGAGCAAAATTTGAAACATTTAAAAAATAGCTGGAATAATAGCTTCAATAGATGGAATTCAAACGAATAGGATGCTAAAATTTTAATAATCAGTTCCTTAAAAAAATATTGATTAATGATAATTTTGTGCTGCTCTTGCGAATTCTTATAAAGCCCACTTATCTTAACTAAAATGTCATTTCTTAACTAAAATTTCATTTGAATGTCATTTCATGGCACGAAAAATCCATTTTACAATCCGTTTAGGAACAGAGTCCTTTATTTTGTCCGTACGTACAGACATAGCGCAAAACAATAGTCAAAAGGGATTCGGGACGGTTAAAATGGGTATTGCCGTTGAAATCTGATAACATGTTTTTTTTTTTTTTTTTTTTTTTTTTTTTTTTAGCAATTACAACACTTTCCAGTAAATAAGAAAATGTATGTTAATTATTAGAATTTGATGTTTCTTCCTTGCTGTATTAACTATTTGTCGCCCTAGTCAATATAATGGTTAATAATGCTGTCTTCCTTCTTGCGGGCCTTAAATATGGTAGTTAAAGGATATGAATAAATAATGGACGCTCAGATTCTGTGCCGCTGATGCTATTTATTGAAACTGGCACTAAACTAATTATGCTGCTAATGCAGTGAGATGATACGTATAACACCACTGGTGAAGTGTTGGAGTCCTGCATTAATAATTTAATCATTTTAACTTAATATGCATAACCAGTGCCTAATTTAGGAAAGGACACATGGGGTATCGCATCGGGCTTCCAATTTGAGGAAGGCCTAAAAATTGTACTTTAATTGCTAATATTCGAATTTGACGTATTTTTAGTATCCTTTTTTAACATATAATTGAAATACTGTATAAAATTTTAAAATATGGTATATAAAATATGTCAAATTATGTATATATTTCTTCAAGCGATTATAAAATTAGAAGAAATATTTTCACAATTCTTAAGCCTCTTTTTTTTTATTTTATTTTCCAAAATGTTAAGCAGATAGCGACTTAGATCAGCGGTTCTCAACCTTTTGACTAACGCGTACCATGTAAACAAACACTGAAAAACTTTAGGACCAACATTACATTTTACAATGATTATTTTCCAATTTCTCAATAAAAATATTAAAATATTTTGCCACTTGCATAACCTATTGGCTATGTGCACACATAAAAAATATTAGACTTAAAATTGGTTACCATTTTAATTATCAAATTTTAAATTATAATACTTTAATTCTAAAACTGAGTGTGAAATTTGGGCCTGTTTAAGAGAGAACAATTTCTTTGTGGCTGGTCTTATTTAACTTAATTTTAACCGTACATTGGGATCCACTTTTAAAATTTTTCTGTATTTATTTTTCAAATATAACATGGAAAAAAATACTAGTTTACACAAATAGGTTGTTCAAAAAAAGAAATAAAAATGTAATAGCTTTATCTTAATGGTCAATATGTCTTTAAATTCTTTTTTTCGGTTCAGCCAAATTTGTGTGATTTTTGAAATCTTCAATTAGAGTTTGACGACAGGCAATTTCTATGAATTGTTCTTTTTCTTCACGAGATTTTTTAAATTTAATAATTAAAAATACTTTGTTTCTTTGCGTACCACCTCTTTTTCTTTTGCATACCATCAGTTGTACGCATACCACCGGCTGAGAATCGCTGGCTTAGATGCTGGGCGTTTTACTCTTAACCTAACTTCCTAGAAAATGTACGAATTTGGCTTATAACACAAAATAAATTAAAACAAGACGTACCAAAAATTAGAACTTTTTGTTTCATTCCCAAAATAACTTCAGATAAAGAATATTGAAGTGTTTTGTTATTTAGTGAAATGCTTCACGTAATTTTTATTAGTAAATCGGATACGCTGCGAAACATGCTAGAAGAGGAGGCCTTCATAAGAGTAAATCGATCCCTTTATATAGCTACTACTAATTATTCAAATCTATGCATATACCCTTACAGTTAAAGGGGGAAAGTTTACTGAATCAAAATAGTGGAAATGGCGAGCAATACAAGCATTCACAAACCAACACAGCAAAGATATTTTACCCTGAACCTACGCCTACACTCTGGTATGGATGAGTCGTTCCACGTGGGTGCATGGCAGACTATGTTACTTCTTGGCAGCTGGGACGTGGGTATAACGTAGCCGATATCGCAGCGAGTCGAACAAGTTGTGCCGTTCCTGTACTTCGACTTGAAAGCAACATTTTTGGTCTCTTGTTCGTCCGGGTGGCTACAACGCATCGATCCATCTTTGGGAGCTTTGGGCTCGGGGCAATAGGCAGCTGTTAAAAATAAAATACATTCGTTATAACTGATTAAAAATTAATGTGCAATTTCAATAACTAAATTTATTTAGTAATTTAAAGTTTCAAAATTAAAAATTAATGTAAAATTTCAATAAAACAATTAAAATAATAAACTAATTATTGACTATCAAAACTGTAGTCCTTCCATTACAACTGATTAAAAATTTATGTAAAATTTCAATAATTTATTCAGAAAGGTAAAGTTTCAAAATTAAAAATTAATGTAAAGTTTCAATAAATTAATTATTGACGATCAAAAGTGTAGTTCATTCATTACAACTGATTAAAAATTAATGTACAATTTCAATAATTAAATTTATTCAGAAAGGTAAAGTTTCAAAATTAAAAAATTAATGTAAAATGTCAATAAATTAATTATTGACGATCAAAACTGTAGTACATCCATTACAACTGATTAAAAATTAACGTACAATTATGTTTAAAAATATATAACATTCCAATGAAAATTTCATTTGAAATATAATGTTGTAATACTATAGTAATATTTTAACTAACTCATGGTCTTATGATTTGAGATAACACCGTTGTGATACTTCCTCGCACAGTTCTCAGATATATGCTATCGGGTGTTAGCCTTTTTACTAGCCGAATACTTGCGCATTTTAGTCAGAATTAAGCCAGTGCTTATTAGGCTGTGTTATGTCCTTGAAATTTTAAATATCCATTTTTTATTACTTTGAAATCCCACAAGCAGCGGAGTGTTACTTGCAAACACTGAATGATTAAATATTTTGTGATATTGCTGCTGAATTGAATTTTATGGTTTGAGTGCCCTGACGAAGACTACGATATGTAATAAGTACAGGTAACACACAAAATGTTAAAAACACCCCTTTAGTCGCAATATAAAATCTGAAAATTTCAGGGCTTTTTTTTTTTCCCCTTGTTCTGTTTGCGATTCCATTAAATATAATTATTGAAACTTGGTCAGTGTTACTGATGTAAAGCAATCATTATCAAACTTCAACATGAATACGTTTTCCTCATGTTTTTCTCACCCTAAACACTAGGTGATAGACAAGTGACATTTTATGCTCGCTATAGAAAGTTTTTCTAAATTTTGTAGGTAAATTTTATAGTTACATAAAAGAATTAAATCTTCATTAATTCATAAACACAACTCCAGTAACGGGGGAAGTATCGCTTTCTGGAGCAAAAATTGCATTACTACGAGTAGCTAAGATCTCATTAACTTTTCATAACCCATTAAAAGATGAAGCTTTTTAAACCTCCGTTCCGGGAATGCAGATATTCTTTAATTTTACTATGTGATTGCTTTGGTTCTATGGCACTGCGCTTGCCGCATTGGACAGATATCGCTTAAATTTCTCGCGTCAGGGACCGCTGTTTCTGACTTGATCGGTTCAGCGATCAACCCATGGTACGATGTTCCGATTTCTTTATTCAACAGTGCAGCATGAGTCAGGAAGAACAGAGAGCTTCACGGATGCCCTCTACTGGAAAATACAGCCATTTATTTATCTAGCTGCGTAGATCAAGAAGAAGCTGATTCGCAACATCAATTATAAATGACGCCACGAGTTCGGCAAATTCTAAAAACATCTTACAGCGACAGCACCAGCCATCGTTGACAGTTCTACCATATTTTGGGTCTATTTATTTTCTTCCATCATTTATTTTTTAAAAACTGTGAAACCCCACCAACGCCAGAATGAATTAAGATCACTGAAAGCCGTTATTTCAGATCAAGTTCTAATCTTGACCAGTTTCCATTGGAAAGTTTTCCATGTCACCATCCCTTCTTTAGGTAGCTCTCACGTTCTTTAACCAACCAATTGAAACCTATGATGAATTATATAATTTTACATCTAATCCACAAACGACTGCAAAAATGCTGCTTATTCTTTCTGCCTTTCTAGTAGGATCACATCAGCATGATGGGGAGGCGAATATCTCTTGTATGAAGACTGCCAACGAGCCCACACTTAGCGTAATGTTCAGGCTTTGCAACAGATTCCTCAGTGAGTTATTAAAGACCACATTTCGGGTTTCAGCACAAACCTAATTTCATAGAGTACAAAATGCTGTCCATAGCTCAAAACGTACAACGTATCAGCGAGTGATCAGAATACTATACAATGTATCAGAATATATGAGTTGTTCAATTCTCTTCATGTTTTGATTTCTGCGAGTCATTAAGCTCTTTTTTGGCTTCCTCCAGTGAGGGTAAGGCACTACTTCTCACTGCCTAAACCGTTGTACTTTAAAGCATTGAGAAGTAATTTGAGGATTACTTGATCCCTGCAATGCTTTTGACAGCGAATGGGAAAAATATAAATGAGATTAAGCACACTAAAATTTTTCCATCAGTTGGTGAACGAATTCCACCACTTTGTTAATTTTCAGATTCTTGCAAATGTTTTTGATGTTCACGGCTTGTTCATGAAAATGTTTTTCCCTCTTGCAAGAACAAACTCCATCCAGAGCTAAATTTAAAATTGAACTAACAAACAGTTAACTCTCAGTGAACTTCAAACCCCTAGAATTCACGGCTACAACAATAAACTGGAACATAGACTCTCATACTGCGTTCTGAGGTGAATTACCCTGTGGTACGCGACTGCATTATCGTTTTGGTATCGAGATGAATTTATTATGTCTACGCATTGCAGATCTGGTTGGTTAAGAAAGAAAAATCTTCTTGCAGTGCTTCATAAAGAAAACTACGTCATGGCCACATTATGGATCGATACATCCATAAAACATTGAAATAGTTTAATTGGTTTAGCCATCTGTAATTTTTTTCCAATGGCAGATTGTGAACAATTACAAATGGAATCCAGTCCATTAATCTATACAAGGCCGTATTATGGAGGTGGGCCACCATCGCCTTTCCCATGAAGGGACGGACACTTACAAACATGACTTGTCTGGGATCTTCGAATTCAGACATCACAGTCAGCTTCCCTGACCACTATACCGACGCCATCTGTAATTTAAACTCGGAATAAACTATTATTGCTCAACTACGATTTAACTTCGGCGCTAGAGAAGGATTTAGTACACAATGGTAATTAATATATAATTATATCTTTGTAACCGGTTAAACATAACACGTTATTAAACTTTTCAACTTACCAACACACTGAACACTTGCACTGGGTGTCCATCGACTATTCTTGCACACTATAAGAACATTAGTAGTGGATAGTTGATCTATAAGGAAGCCAGGGTAACAGAAAAATTGACAGACACTACCATCGGGATAGATTTCTTTGCCATTAGCATTGCATACCACCGTTCCATGCTCTGGCAAAGGTGGTTTCATGCAAGGCAGTTTCCTCACGTTGAACACATCCTTTGCTAGATGTTCTGTAAAGTGAAGGTCTATGATCACACTATTAAAATTAGGTAGATTATTATGCAATTTTTTACTCACAAGAAACATAATAGTAATTATTCACAAACATTTTAACGAAAGCTGATAAAAACTGAGAATAATTACTCGCCATTTTTCTGTTACAATCTATTTGTCTTAACAGCTATATTTATATAAGGTCCATTTTCAAATTTTGCTCACATAAGCAGTGCCAGAAGAAAAGAAAGGAAATTCAAGATAAATTAATATTTAAAGTTTAATTTGAGCAACGCCTTGCATAAATATGACTATAAATATATTTCTAGAATTTAAAATATAAAAAAAATAAAATGAAAATTTTTAGGTATAAATTTAGCAAATCAATAAAAATAATTTGTCTTCCACTCCTGTCAAGTCCGTTACCTTGAAATTAATAGGGAGACCGGAAAGTAATGTCGCTTTCTTGCATTAAATTCAAACGAATCAGTTTGTAACAAATTTTTATTTTTACTCAATAATATAATCACCCTCGCTATCAGCAACCTTTTGCCATCTAGTATGACGATTTCAATCCCAGACCGATAAAAATCAATTGGTTTTTGAGTAAAACATCTCGAGATGGCATTTTGGACATCAGCCAAATTTTCAAGTTTTTTGTCACTAAGAAAATATTGTAGGGATCGGAATAAATGTAAATCCGAGGGTGCGATATCGGGCGAATATGGTGGGTGAGGCAGTACCTCCCACCCCAATTCATTATATTTATCCAGTGTTCATTTTGCACAGAGCGGTCTTGCATTGTCGTGCTGCAGAATGACGCTTTTTCCGTTGACAATCGCCAGTATTTTTCGATCAAAGATTAGTTCAATAAATCCAATTGTTCACAATAAAGGTCTACATTAACAGTTTTTCCAGGTTTCAGCAATTCAAAATGAACCATTCCGCGAATACTCCACCAAACACCCAGCACCTTTTCAGGATGTAAACCCTTTGTAACCCCTATTAAAACTGCTTTTTGAGTTTTGGATTATCATATAGGACTTAAGTTTTTGTCTCCACTAATCAAACGATCAAAAAACGGTTCTGTAGGGTGCCGTTGAAGCAACACGTTGCATGTGATGGATAGGTTGGCTTTGTTCTTTTCGGACAGATTATTGGGGGACTCAAACACCTGCTTTGCTTATTTTTTCATTCTGCTTTAAATGTTCTTGGATGGTCGACCAAGGTTAATTAAGAGTGTTTGACATAGATTTGCTTCCACTTCTGCCCTTAGCATGTTGTTGTCGACATGCGCAGAAACGACATTTCTTTCCGGTCCCCCTATTATCCCAGTTAGTTGTAAATCTAGTTTCCCAGTTAGTTGTAAATCTGCCTAAAGAGTGCAGTACATATTCAAAGTAGTCAAACTTAGCTTGACTAGTTTATGTATGTCACTGAATATGAACTACGCCCTTTAGGCAGATTTACAAACTAATTGTGGGTAAAATAATCTCCAGGTAATGAAGTGGAAGAAAAATTATTTTTGTATCGATTTGCTAAAGAAAAAAAAACTTTTGTAATAAATTTTTATCACGAATATAACACACTGATAATTCATATTTAAAATAATTAAACTTCTTTATTTAAAAAAATAAATTAGGTTACAAAACAAAGAGATTGAATAACATGAAACTTGAAAGGGGCAGGCATTTTTGCCTACGATCAAACATTTTAAGATTGACAGCTAAAAATATCAATTTTTTTTTATATTTTGAATTGCAGTAATATATTTACAATCATCTTTATGCAACGGATTAGTCAAATTAAACTTTAGATATAATTTATCTTAAATTTTCTTTCTTTTCTTCTGGGACAGCATATGTAAGCAAAATTTGAAAACGGGTCATAATCTTGATTTAGTGTACGAAATTTTTGGAACGTTATCCCCTAAGTTCTACGATTTTCTGTCATTATCCTTAGAGGCAATTTCTTAAAGTATCCTTAAACATTTATACTTATTCACTAATAATGACATAAGATAAAAGCATTAAATGTGGAATTGGGACTTTATTCGTTTCCAGCAAGCCAGAAACTAATCCTTTTTTAAATAATTTTAATTAAGAACTTTCTTTTCATTTCAGACGATACATTTTATCCTGAACATTGCTTTTAGAAAGATTAACCTCTCTGTTTTATTCTCAAAACAATGTTTCTCTTAAAGTTTATGATATGTAAAAACTTGGTGGCAACAAATTTAAATATTAATATATGTATTTGCTGAACTGGGAGGCAGATATAGATAACGAGCATATTTGCTTTATTAGCAAATTTTGCAATCATTATCTCGCAGTCTGTGCACATATTGTACATTGTTCTAAAGCATCTTTTAATTAAAAGAAAATATTTGGAATACTACTCACTTCTGCAAACGGGAAAGGCAGAAGACCAAGCAACTTTGTCCGAATTTCCTTCACATTCGATTGTACGTTGTCCTTGCAATACATAATCCGAAGAGCATGAGAAATGGCATTTGCTTCCCCAGATGGTGCCGTTAGAACACTCCACCGACCCTCCTTCCAGAGCAGGAACATTACTGCATTTTTTAACTGAAAAAAAAATACAGGAACTTTGAGCAGAATCCATCTTATAGCATTTATTAAGCTTTAAACACAGGAAAAAATGAGTAAGATAAAGTATGGTGATTTTTATTAAACTAAACTACCACGGCTGATGTTAAGCCTCTTACAAATGAATGCATTTTTCTGAAACTGAATGCCAAGCTGAGGAACTCGTCTGTCTTTTACGCTTCATGTCTCTTCTGGTAAAGGAAAACAAAGAGGATAATAAAGATGATTTTGGAATAAATCTATAATAAAGAAAAATATCTGTTTGTGTGTTTGTTCTCGATTAATTCAGTCACTACTATATCTATCGTCACCAAACTTTCTATCATTTTTTCTGGGTCATGGGAAAGATCAACTTCCAATTTTTTTCCAATAAAAATAGCTAAAATCAGAGATATTAATTAAAAACTCTGAAAACTCTAAGTTTTCCATTGAAATAAAAAAAACATTGCCAAACATTAAAACACATTATTTCCGATTCCGAAACTTCGTGGGAAGGCATTTAGACTTTTCCCATCTTCGTACCAGCGGCCGAGCGGTAAAGTCGCTGAACACTGGTAGTTCGGTCCGAGGTTCGAATCTTGCGAACAGGATGGCTGCATGGGCGCTTTCGTTGTTTTCCCCATGTGTAACGTGTATACGAGCCAGTTTCCCTTAGAAAGTTCTCCACAAAGACATCGATCCCCTTAGGCAGATAGCCCTAGTGTGCTTTGCCATAATTAAATACACCACCCATCTTCGTATGACTTTAATCAGCCAATATATTAATCTCAACCCTTTTTTTCACAGCACGAACGCACGTAACAACGCCATATAGTAGCTTTGCTTGAGTCAAAAGTTAACTTCATCGGATGATTTTGAGAGCAAAGTCAATTGCTATGAAATATTCCTTTGTCCTGAAGGAATCTTTACGGTAGACTCTACATCATTAGGCAATTTTCAAATTGTGTAGCCCATCGTACTAAAACAAATGGGAAAATCCGGCCCAAGAAAATAACATGTGATGATATTTCAAAGGAAAACTGGAAATATCGAGCCACGATATTTGAAAATGTCAAATTAAAAAAAAAAAAAAAAAAAAAAAAAAAAAAAAAAAGAGAAAGAAATAATTTTGGATAAATAAAGAAATATAACCTTTATGCAGTCTCCCGGTTCCTATACTTATATATGAGAAAGTTTCACACTGTTAATGAAAAAAAAACAAAATTATAAGAAGTTTGACTTCCATCCGACAAAAATGAATCGGATATTTAATTTAAAAATTTGCATTTTTATGTCATTTTCAACTTTCAAAAATACGTAATATTTAATAGGCCGTACAAGGAAGTCATGAAGAGTCTGCATCAGATTATTTTTTAAATACGAGGGCATTTCGAAAAGTAAAGATTCAACGGCTCGCATTCCTTAAAAAAAGATTTATTTAGAAAACGTCAGTTACATCTTATTAACTGGATTATTTATTATTTTACGACATAATCACTCCCGTTATCCAAACATTTGTTAAGTCGGTGCACAAGCTTTTGTATCCCACAGTCATAGAAGGTTGTCGCCTGTTGGAACCCAGCGCGCACACAATTTTCTGACCCTAACTTGACAGTCACAACTTCATAAAGAGTTGTCATTGATACTTTCGGTATGATCTGATGCAATTCTTTCAACTTGAGACGTCTATTCGCACGAATTGCTTCCTCTGTTCTCTGAAGAAGGGCATCAGAGATCACAGATGGCCGACCTGTTCTTTGTTCGTCACGAACATCGGTCCTACCTTCAGAGAAATGACGACATCATTTCGTTACATTTTGTCTATTTATAATGTTCCCATAAACAGAAACAATTTCTTTGTGAATATCCGCTGGTCGCTGACCTTTTGCATGAAGAAAACGTATGACGGAGCGCACTTCGCATTTGGCGGGATTCTGAATCGGCGCAGCCATTTTAAACACGACCTACTCCAACCAGAATCAACGCTGAAATGCCGAACGACGGCGAGGAGAAAGCTAACGGTTCAAGGTTAACACCTGTGCTGCCAACTTGCTCACCAAAACTTTTCTTTTCCTCTGGAGTACGGTGTACCTTTACTTTTCGAAATGCCCTCGTATAGGAGAGAAACTGTCGCTTTGGTAACAGACACAATTTAGATTAATATTTTCGACTTTTTTAAATTTTAGATACCATAACAATTGATCGATCCACTCCGGAACTAATTCAAAGGACCAGTTCCGGGGTCGTTTCAATGAGCGAACGGTTCTGATCCGATTCCATAAAAGAGCGGTTTCGAATGTCTCTAGTTACCATTACATAGAAAATCAATTATGACCGTAAACTTTCAACAAAACTATCGTTAGACGCTTGAATTCACACGCCATTCACCTTCTTCTCCACCGAGAGCGATAATCTTATATTCACCAGGATAATTCTATTGCTTGAAAGTCGTTTCAAGCATTTTAGATTGTCAGACTGTATTGTATCAGAGATAGATCGTGATGACGGAAAACATTTCGGTGATGCAACATAACGGATTTGCGTCACAAAATACATTTTCAAGACGAAAGATCAAAATTTTTAAACTTTAATATGCTGAACAATGATTGCTCACCTGTTACGCTCAGCGTGTACTTGCAAGAATACACGTTTCCGCCTTTCTTCCAGGCTATGACCTGCACCGGATACTCTCCTTCTAACACTCGCACACCTGGACGAGGTCCTGACGATACAGCAATATTCATTCTTCCTCGTCGGCGCGCTAATCTTTCGTAAATAAAGAATTCAATAATTGTTAGTAAAACAATAAAATTGAAATCCTAAAAGTAATAACGTAACAGAACTATTTGGATGTAACCAGAGCTTAAACTGCGCCGGTACTTTTCAGTTTTCGAGATAAATTATAATTTCAGCCACAGCGCACCTGAGCCCCAACTAAAAGACTCCTTTTACGTAAGTGAGCCACAATTTTAGCAGAAAAATTTTGCTTTAAACTTTTGAAGACGGGATGGCCATTGTAGTGGCCATTCAAAAGACGGGGTTGTCCACTTTAGTGGCCATGTCTTTTTCCCCATTTTCCAGGCTGAAACGTGGAGTGAAATGTCAAATTTGACGTCCCTAGGGTTTTAACCACTTCTCTCTTTCAAAGGTATTCCCTTTGCGACATAGATGCACCCCTCTGAGAATCCATTAAATTACACACAAGAATCTTTGTTGCAAATAGGAGGTGATTTCTTAAAGGGGGAAAGCATTCGGTTCAAGATTCCCCGTCCTTTGGTAACTTTTCTGATACCAAAGCCCCGGCCTCAAAAGGTTAATAGTAAACATGCCTTAAAAATCAATTCTAACTTCTGAATGTAAGCCTGCCTTACCCTCGCACTCAAGCCTTGCACAGAGGTTGAGACTTTTAAGGAAAGAAAAGCCCCCCAATCATATGTCAAAGGCTCATCCTACAGGATGTGCAATGAATTTATGACAGCGGGTACATTTTGTATTCCTCAAAGAACTAAAAGTGATACCCTGGTCGTGCACGTTTCTACGGTAGTGACTTCCTGCTGCAGACTTATGGAAAAACAATAATATGGAAAAACAGAAATATGAGAACACAGATATGGAAAAACATTGACATGCCATTTCAGAAAAAGTCCGATTTTGTACAAAATACATATATTAGAACAATGCAATATATAAATGTAATACATATCCTAAGTCACACTTTCGAGGCATGAGAAACACAAGTTGAATTTCGTCAATCGGCCCAGTAGAACGGAAGATATAGAACTGTTCATCCCCCCCCTCCGCAGTGTACGTTCCAAGAAATGTATAAACTAACAAAGACTACCCTTCTGTAATGGCTTCACGGATAAATAAGGCACCATTAAAAAACAACGAAACAAACATTTATTAAAAATTAACGTTCAAAGAATAATAGTATACTCGGAGCAGTATCTCGCTCCTACAACATAACGAAATCTGCCTCTTTCCTCCTCTGAGGCTAACATGCAACTGTTGTCTCTCTCACTTGCTGGGCTCTGGCAGGCAGCTGATTGGCTTACCGCATCGATACATGACACCTTCGAAGGCTTAAAAAGAAGAATGTTGCATTCAGTAACTAATCAGTTTTGCAGATACGTAGTTTTGAAACTTAAAGACGCATTGTGTACATTTCAAAAGCAATTTATAACACCGATGCAGCTTACATATAATTCATTTGAAGGTCAGAAAAAAGTTAACCGAAGAAAAGACATCGTAAAAAACTCGTAGAATTCTGACGTACCTTTTTCTACTTTTGAAAAGTAAAAAAAGGCACGTCAGAATTTTCGCCAGTACAGTGGAACCTCGAGATACGAGCACCTCTATATACGAGAAATTCGAGATACGAGGAAAGTATGAGAGAAAAATGTCTCTAAACACGAGCATTGACTCGAGTAACGAGCAATTAGCCAGGATGCTGTTGGTATGCGTGGCGCCACTTCCCGATCCGGCTCGACTCGGTGAATCCCCTCTTCAGATCACTCTGTTCATTGATCTACGTGTTTGTTGGCTTGTGAGTGAATTGTTTATTACATTTCCCAAGAAGATTGTTGCCTCAGATAGTGCTGCAAAGAAAAATGAGGAAGCCATGATCGTTAAGATTAAGAAAGAAATCTTAGATAAACATAAGCGTGATGTAAGAATGACAGAATTGGCGAAGACTTCGACGATTCGCACTATTCTGAAGAAGCAGGAAGAAATTAAGAAACTTTGATGTGGCCAAAGGTGTTACTGTTACCTCCAAGCAATGGCCCAAACTCCTAGAAGATGTTGAGAAGCTGTTGTTAGTGTGGATTAACGATAAATAACAATTAATAAAGGTCGGTGTCGGAAGCTATCATAAAGGTAAACTACGGTTATATTATTTACTGGTATTATTTATTAGAAAAATATTTTTATGTTGATATTTTTGGGGTGCGGAACGGATTAACTGGATTTCCATTATTTTCAATGGGGAAGATTTTTCTAAACACGAGAAATTTGCTAAACGAGCTCAATGCTGGAACGAATTAAATTCGTATCTCGAGGTTCCACTGTATTAATCTGTCATATAAAGTAAACTATCAATGAACATACTCGAGAGCCCTGTTACGAAAAACCTCGACAAAATCTCAGATTATGATTTTCGAGAAATTCGTACATTATATTTTGAAATTCTCCATAAAATTAAATGGTAATTAAAATGTTGAACAGAATTTCCATTTCCATTTCAAACTGTCACAAATTTTGTACAAGTAGAACTATAAATTCGATATACTGGATGTTTGAGCATTGAGGGGAGTAATAAATGCCACCCCCACTGACCAAAATCCAGATATCAGTCGTCAAAACTTTATTATCAGCAGCATACGTTTTACCAGAAAACTTTACATAGATCATAATTTGTTGATTAACATTTGTTTTCATCATATCATGCATAGAAGGTAAAGTAAAATGCTATAGGGAAACACTATATACAAGGTACAATGAAAATGCTACCGGAGGGGGGGAATATTGTAAATGTATTTTTAAATATTTACAAACACAAAGGGTGTCCTAGAAAAAGTGAAAAAACATTACCCAGAATATTCTAAAGATTAGACGAAATAAATTTAATATTCGAGATAAACCTCATTTTTTTCTTTCATTTTTACAATATTTTATGAGCTATGAGGTTTATCAGTATGCTAACAGCTTCTTACGCATTATATAATGTGTTTGTCAGAAGAAATATATCACCTTAATTTCAGATGAATATATCACCTTAATTTCAGATGAATATATCACCTTAATTTGAATCAGTAGGTTGTTTTGATGTTAGAAAGCTAAAGAAATGTGCAATGCCCTCTTCGGGACTCGAACCTGGGCCTCTCGAATACGCGCCGAGTGTGCTAACTTTACATGACGAAGGTATGCAGAAAACAGGGAGAAAATACCTTATATACTTCCCCTTTTAAAGGATAACTGCCGAATTGGGGACCCAATGGTAAACTCTTGGTGGTGAATAATCATCAACCACCATCTTTTAGTTTGAGCGCCACTGTTCAGACATTAGGTGTTTTTGAAGCAGGAGAAGTGCAGTGCCTTCGCAGGGACTCGAACCTGAACCTCTCGAATACGCGTCGAGTGTGCTAACCGTTACATTACGAAGGCACGCACAAGGATGGCAAAAAATTCAAACACATGAATTGTATTTTAAGAAGCCATTTAAGAATTAAATTAAAAAAATAATTATTTTTAATTTATGAAAAGCATTCCTGTAAAGTTCTTAAAAAGCATATAAGTGCAAATTGTCTTCTGTCCTCTTTGCACTACCATTAAATGCAAGTAGAAACGAGGATGAATATATTCAATATATTGGCTCAAAACCTATTTCGAGCATCATTAAAGCAATTTAAATCATCTAAAAGCACTTACTTATTACTTAAAGAAGATGGTTTAAAAAAAACTAAGTAGTTTCGCTTCTTGAACACTTAAATTAGCATTTTATATATAATAAGAGCTTTTTCGTAAAGAGTGGTTTTCCTTTAATGGTAAAGAATAGAAATTAGTTCTTTAAGTAACAATATCGCCGCTTTCATCTTCGTCAAACTGACACTAAAGCGCGTGATTACAGTGTTTGTATTTCATTTTTATTTCCCTCATTATAGTTGTGAGAAAAGTTCGAAACTTCGAAAGGATTTATTTGTAGCAATTAAAACAGATCTGCAGAAGTATCTTACGAAAGCGTCTGAAAATCATGACATCTTTGCCAAGTTTAAAAAGATATACAGGATAAATGAAATAAAAGGCTAGTTTACAGAGCAAATATTCAGCTGTAAAAACAAGATTTCTAAACCAAGAAAAGAGAGAAGAATATTTTGTTTTAAGAATCATAGTTATTTACATTAAAACAATCCAACGTGAGTTTTACTTGAAATTGCAGACAATGAATTTACTACTGTCCTAATGATGTAGGCACCCAATTTGCCAACTTAAAAGTCCCCATTTATAATACTAAAAAAAAAAAATTGTTTCTAAACTGAATTAAGAATTGATTTATAAACTGAGACATTGCATTCGAAAACGGAAAATAAATTCATAAAAAACCAGCAAAAAGTTTCTAAGCGTTTAAACCGAAATTCGTGTTTTACCATATGAAAGACAGAATGCCGAATACTTAAATATACTTAAATATAAATAAATGTATATACACTGCGATAACAAAAGGGGGATAGTTCTATATATCCCATTTTACTGGACCGCTTCAGGAAATTCAAATTGCGTTTTTCATATCTCGAAACGCGACTTAGGATCTGTATTAGATTTAAATATAACAGTGTTTTAATACGGGTATTTTGGCACAAAATCGGACTTTTTCTGAAAGGACATGACAATTGTTTTGTATATTTCAATTCTACGACTCAAAATATGCCTAAATATTAAACTTTGCAAAATTTGGTGCAGAAATTCAAAAATTTATCTTGGTCCATTTTTTTCAGTTTGTGCCAAGAATAATTAACTAAGCGAACTGTTTAATATATGGCAGCCTATTTTCCTTTCCCTTTTATACAGTGTGCATAAGCGAAAAAAAAAAAAAAAAAAAAAAAAAAAAAAAACAGCTGCATCATTCCTACTTTCAAATAATTTTTAAAAAGTGCCTAAATCATATTTGATGTTATTATCACTTTCAACAAATATACCAAATTTCAAAACGCGCCAATATATAAATTTACGTATATGTTCGCAATTTTGAATAAAAAAATATAATTATTGCAGGTATGCTTAGAAATACGTCTATGTACAGACGATGGTAAAAATTTTATAGATTTTAAATAAAAAAAATTTCGAAAAATTTATAAAATTATTTAAAAGTACAAATTTAAAAAATAAATCATAAAAATGGGCGAATTTTACTTGGAATGAAACTAAATTTCGAAATGTGAAAGGAAAACTCAAATAAATTTAATAAAAAAAAGAGAGATTAATAAATATATACCAAATTCAATTAACACTGAAAAGCTAAAATTTTGAAAGCTAATTTTTTAAAAACTACCCACGTGATTTTTGCAAAACTTGGCAGTGTGGCATAATTTGAGTCGTAGAATTGAAATATAGGAAAAAAAAAGTGGTATGTCCTGTCAGAAAAAAGTGCGATTTTATGTCAATATACCTATAGGTGATAGGTGACGGGGGGCACGGGCACTGTCCCTTTACCATTAGGTTAATCGGTTTAGCACCGTGCCCACCCCCATCTAGAGCCATATTTATTGAATAACAAAACAACAAATACACGGCCAAACAAGGGCTGGAATGATTATATACGAGTTTACATACTGCCATGAAAGGATTACATTTTCATAAATAAACAGAAATAAACGACTGTAACAGGCATGATAAGTTGTACATAACATAAAACAGTACTACAAATAATTTAAATATTAAATAACAAAATACCTATATTATAACAATGCTGTATATAAATATAATACATATCCTAAGTCGCGATTTTAAGACATGAAAAAGAAAGTTGAATTTCGAATTTCGTCAATCGGCCCAGTAGAACGAGAGATTCAAGAAATGTCTTTTTTTTTTTTTTTCGCAGTGTACCTAGTTTGGAATTTGGAATGCTAATTTCATCGATCCATTAGTCTTCATTTCGCTTACAGCTCAAAGACAACCTTAGCTACGAATTTATAAACACAAGGGCGATAGAACAAGATAAAAATAAAAATTTTCGTAATATCGTTATGAGATGGAATGTGAAATGTAACTGTCGAAACGCAGTAATCAGTAGTTTACCCCAGACGGTAAACGAGGCCCTACGTGCGGATCAACCAGCAAAATGCAAAATACGCTAATAAATTTCAGGGATGTGAAGCAGAAAGAGGTACTAATAGATAACTAATCGTTTTTATAAATTTATAGCTCTATATACATTCATATTTCAATACTTGATTTCTGAATTAAAGCTTCTAGAAGTGACAGAACTATATTTTTCAACGGATGCATATGCTTTCTAGCATATCTAATGTTCTCAGCTGAAGTTGACCACTAGTTGTAATCATGGTTTGGTTAATTAATTACGGCAACGCACTAGGGCCTCAGTAAAGATTGCCTTAATGGAGGACTTTCTAAGGGAAACTGTCTCGCGTATATGCATTATACCTCGGAAAAACTACGAAAGCGTCCATGCATCCGGCCCGTTAGCCGGGGGGTTCGAACCCCAGAAGAACTATCAGTGTTCATCAAATTTACCTGTCGACCACTGGTCAGCCCAGTTGTAATCATGACTACATATGTGCATATACACTGTAACAAAAGATGCGCACTCATGCTGCTGATTTCGGTAGTTTGCTCAGGAATTCGGGAATGAAAGAAAGGAAAATGTCGTCGAACAATGTTTTATAACCGCTCTGGTGAAGTAATTAAGAAGGCCGCATTCGGCCCGCGGGCCGTCTTTTGCATGCCCTTGCATCACCCCGACTGCAGATCTCGTTTATAAAATGCCGCCGATTAACCCTTATCGCCAGATTTAGCGTCTCAGCTGTAGACGGACGTGACATACCGGGCAGCATATTTCGTAAGTGCACATCTGTAACGCCACCGAGGGAGTGGCTTCTAGAATGGACCAGTGAGCTTCTAGTAATATTTCTATCATTCCACATGACATTTGCCACGCTTTAAGCAAGGTAGTTGAAAGTGTTTTGCCCCGCAATTTCCTGTAGAGAATAATTAAAGCATTTCTTGTGAAAATTTTCATTGCGAAGTTAAATCAAATATAAGCATAACTATACATTAAGATACAATAACACGCCGAGCAAATATTAATTTAGAAGTCAAACAACAAAAATCAGCGTTATATTTTGAAATTTTCAAAATTTTCGAAAATGAAAATTCCAGTCCAGTCAGCATTCTAGTCCAGCGTTCCAGTTCTAGACCAGTCAGCGTTATATATTTGAAATTTTCAAACACACAGTCTGCATGAAAAAGATGATCTATAATAATAGTCAATGCACAGTTTTATTTAAAGTGAACTATAAATTTCTATTTCTATACATCTACAACCAGGGAGCATAATTTGACATTAATAACTGTTCACTCTTAAATGTATTATTGTCTGAGCAAGGAATACTCTTCAAACAGAATTAATTTATCTTATTCACAACGAATATTGTTAATTTATTGATATATGACTTTAATATCAACAATATGTATAATAAGATCATTCACGATGTATATTTTAAAACTTAAAATTTCAGAATCAAAGGAATGCAAGCATTGAGATAAGAAAATACTAGATTAATTGTAACACTTCCAGTTATTCTGAGCTCAATAAAAACTTATGCACTTGAATTCTCTTATCCACAGGTGTTGATAAAAGCATAATATTTGAAGATAGCTATAGCTTGATACACGTTCTCGATATAAAGAGCAATGACATGCGACGAAAATTAATCCGAATATCCAGTGCGTGATAGGTTTCGCGAAAGTGAAATGTTGACGATTAAGCAAACTAGCAAAATGAAAGCACTACGAGATTTTCTACTAAACTGACAACAGCATTTATTCGTCATGCTAAACAAAGGCAAAATAAAGCGTAAACATTAACTCGCGCCCATATTCACAGTTTCAGATTCAACGTCACAAACGTGGTCCATCTTTGGAACTCCTCTCTCAGTGGCGATACTGATGTGCACTTGTGAATTATGCTGCCGGGCCTCCTTTAAAATGTTTGCCAGTCACTTCCCCATCATTTTCATGCATGTGTTCCAGTTTGTAGTAATTTAGTTGAACAATTCTTATTTATAAATTTCAAACACTGTCATTTTTTTTTTTTTTTTTTTAATATCCATGATTAAAGCGACCTTCCTTTCCATGTTTTATCTGTACTTACTGCGTTTCTTTGAAAGCATCTAGCATTCTATCACATATCGTATTACGAAATTTGCTAATTTTTCTCTTTTCTATCGCCCACTAAAGCTGCGATCATTCATTCTGTTACATCTTGTTGCATTTGACACTAATACACTCTTTAAATCTGCTATGATTTTATTTTAGCATATCGAAGAAGTCAGCGAATCAATATTCATGTCTAAAAAATCTTAACTGATGCCATACTTTATAAGGTGTTTCTCCCACCTTCTTAGCATGCCTTCGTGGTGTGGTGGTCTGCACGTTGGGCGCGTATTCCAGAGGTCCGCGGTTCGATTCCCGGCGAAGGCGTTGTTCATTTTTCAGCTCTCTTGTTTCAAAATAACCTAATAGCTCTACACTGGCGCGCGAACTAAAAAAACAAGATGGCGGAGAGCGATTCACCGCCACCAGAATTTGGCGATTGGGTCCTCTAATCCCAGTCGGTCGCCCTTTAAAAGGGAGAGTGTATAAGGTATTTTTCCCGCCTTCTTAGAAGGCCTTCGTAGTGTAGTGGTCAGCACGCGGAGCACATATTCCAGAGGTCCGCGGTTCGATTCGTGTCGAAGGCGTTGCTCATTTTTCACTACTTCCTGTTTCAAAATAAATAAATAAATAAATAAATAAAAAAACTAATGTCTCTACAACTTTTTTTATACAATACTATCTGTATTTGGGATGCAAATTGACGAAAATATCCTAAATATACAGATAATGATGGACTAAGAGAAGTACCATTTCCAATTCAAGTCATTCGAGAAATGTATGACTAATACCACTACTTCTCCGATTCCTCAGACTAAGAGTATAAATAAAATAAATTACCGAGCGCAGATGGAAATAACCGGAACCGGAACTTCAACAGTACTTTCACTTCGAGCCGCTGTCAGAGTGAGATTAGCTGAGCACTGCACGCAGCCTCTCTTGGCGGGAGTCGCCGAGATGGACCGCTCATCTGCAAAAAAAAAAAAAAAAAAAAAAAAGGACAGTGAGCAATCAAAAAAATATAATGCATTTTTTGCGGGAAATTGCTTTAATAATCTTTACGAAATAGAAGTACTTAAACAAACTTAAGATAAAACTATGCATATAGAGAGAGATACAACCACATTTGTATTAAGGGCATAAACAGGATTTTACCATCGGATAATGCTGTTATATTGTAAGGAAAATACAAACATTTTTTATAACTCTGTAAACCATGTTTTTAAGCATACACAAGCTCTTAATGTTGAACAGTGAATCAGTCGACAGACGTCACTGGGAAAATTTACTTGGGCACACTGGCTAATCTTCAGTTAAATGAAAAAAATTCTGAAAGCTTTCAGATTTTATATTACGCCCAAAGAGGCGTTTCTTTAACATTTTGTCTGTTACCTTTACTTAATAAATATCATGTTCTTCGCACTGAAACCATAAAATTTAATCCAATAGCAATATCGCAAAATATTAAAAAGAGTATAAGGTATTTCTTCGACTTTCCTAGCGTGCCTTCGTGGTGTAGTGGTTCTGCACGCTGGGCCGGTATTCCAGAGGTCCTTGGTTCGATTCCCGGCACAGGCAGTTGCTAATTTTTCATCTCTCCGGCTTTGTCAATTAACCTAATGTATCTACAAGAGCATATCTTTATAATTTCCGATACAATTTCTTTCTCGCGCGCAGGAGATAATATTTTTTTTTTTTTTTTTTCCGTATAGTATTGCCATTGCTCGCTTTGAAATCGTTGAGTTTCGTAATCAAAAACTCATAAATGCTTTACAAAATATGAAGTAGATTAAAAAAATTCCAAATTCGAGCTTCAGATGCCCATATTCGGATGGAGACGTACGTTATTCAAAATTGGATGGCTCTAGGTACCGTTGTTTCATCGGGTTCATTCGAGTGGAGATGTACGTTATTCAAAATTGGATGGCTCTAGGTACCATTGTTTCATCGGGTTCATTTCGGGTGGAGATGTTTTTGGTTTTGTTTTTGCTAGAACGCCCCAACCCGCCTGATCACAAAGTGATCTTATGGTCCAAAAAGGGGGCGTCCCATTCACACCACATTCCGAGTAACTAAAAATGCGGGTGGAGATGTACGTTATTCAAAATTGGATGGCTATAGGTACCGTTGTTTCATCGGGTTCATTCGGGTGGAGACGTACGTTATTCAAAATTGGTTGGCTCTAGGTACCGTTGTTTCATCGGGTTCATTCGGGTGGAGATGTACGTTATTCAAAATTGGATGGCTCTAGGTACCGTTGTTTCATCGCAATGCTAGAAACATACCTACATTCATGCAGATTCTTAGTTATTTAATTTCTTTAAATATTATTCGTTATTAAATATTTCGGAAAGTTTGATTCAATTCAGGCTTTTGATACATAGAAGCATATCATCTATTTGTCAGCCTCAGTAATGAAAATGCTTCAGTAATACGTAATAAATAAATCTCATGATTATGCAACAATACATCAGTTTCCAACAACTGCTTTTGCATATATAAGTTAAATTTAATCAACTCTACTCTGAATGTTGATTTTACGTAATTACTCTTTGGATTTGAGGCATCCACTCTTCTGCCTTTTTCATGGCACTAATCCCTCATTTTCTAACTGTCTAATATGTTCTTACAGGGTTAGATATACCTTACGTACAGATAATTACGTAATTTTTCATTTTGTGTACTTTAAAAAATTCTGATTAGCTCTCTTCAGCTGCATCTATTATTTACACGAACTAATGAAAGAAATTATTATTATTAGCTAAAAAAGTGACGAAGATTGACAAGAGAGATTAAAGAAGATACTTGCAAATTCGAGTCAATTTCAAGAGGACATAAATTCTGTAAAACATCCAGGTGTATGGAATGCAGTGCCACGGTGATCGATACGTAAATTATTATTCGCATTTTTATGGCACAAATATATTAAATAAAAAATTAATTACTCACATAAGTGGACAAATTAGCAATCAGCTGTTTATTCGTAAACTGTTCAAGTTGGTTTTGAAGGATTATCCGTCAATTTGACAATCATTGAAACGCTTTAAATTATGGTAAAAGAATTTATTTTTTATTTATTTTCTGGATGGTCATTTCCCCTCTAAACGGCACGGCCGTATGTACACGGCCTAGAATATTTTCTGTGTTATCTCTAAGAACGTATATATACGTGGATATTAAAATATGTCAAAGAAGCTAAGGCAAACTAATATTAAAAGTACACAAATCCAGATATAAGATACTCGGAGAATTTTTACTTTAAAATCAAGAAAATAATTTTTTCTCATAGTAGTTTCGGGAAATTTGCGCTTTCTTAGCGAAAATCCTGGCCGGTCATTCATATCATTCATATTCGTACGAAATGTACTGGCGCGGTGAGATGGCTTCCCCGCAAGGCAGGTTATGGGTTGCCATAAAATGCCAAGGAAAGGCAGGGTTGCCACATTTGGCGACATTTGGCGATATCCCATGGACGGATGGAGAACCTTCTGGAACGAATTCTTACCGGTTTAGCTCAGAATGTTCTCGAACACAAGCCGAAAGCTATGTAAACCCTGCTGGTTCGCAGTCAGTTAGTGTGTGTGCCTCGTCTAGCGAGGCTGATAGTAAGTCATTGAGCGAGTGTCTCGAAGTCTAGCGCCGAGTTGGTCGTCGAGTGCATCGAGAGAGTCTCTTAGTGTATCGCGAATTAGTGCATCGTCGAGTTTTGTCTTAGACTGTGCTGAGTCGAGAGCTATATTCTTTTGTATCGTCGAGTGCTTCGCGAATTGTAGCGTGGGGAGTCTCGAGAGTACGTGGAGTTCCGAGAACGACCGACAGAGTCCGAAGCTGTACTTTGGTGCTTTGCGGAGAAGCTGTCTCCACCGTTATTGCCTGACAGTGTGAAGGCTGTGTCGCTGATTGTTCCAGCGTGTTTATAGTAGATCTTCGCCGACTTTAAAAGTGTTTTGGAGCTGTCCTGATTGGATATTGGTAAATAAAGTGTGTTTCGATACTTCATCAAGTGTCGTCGTTATTCACTCCAAATCTACAAACCCTGTACGAACGTGAAGGAAAGAAAATAGCGTAACAACTGGTGTCAGAAAAGAAAAAAGCAACAATATTAATGAATAAAGCGCTTTCACTTCTTCGGAATTAAATCTGCGTATAAGCATATTGATTCTGTGCATAAACGTGCACAGAAGTACACAAAATTTAATTTTGAAACTATCATTTTAATGGAAATTCAAGGAACTGTAATATTTACAGTACTATAAATACAGATTTGTAGTATTGCAGACTGTAAATAATAATAATCTGTAATATTACCGACTGTAAATATTATGACTGTAAAGCGCATTTTGAATAATCAGGTTTAATATGTAACTTTGGTAATATTGATAAACAAATTTCCATTGAAATGTTAGTTTCAAAATTAAATTTTGTCGAAGTTTATTTAGTAATTTTATCCGAATTCAAAAATTTGCATTTTGTGCATGCTATACAATATAAATAGCAACCGTTGATTTCCAAACTTCCAGCTGAGAATATTTTAATTTATAGAGTTACAACATTGAAATTGAAATCTGAACTTACCATTGTATCTCACCGGTATGAAGATCTTCTCTGGAGAGTGAAAAGATATCCAAATGCTATCATTTATCGGACGTAGATTACCGAGACCGTCAATCTTTCGACGAGGTAATGCAACTCTGCTATGATGGGGATAATCTAAAGATTTCGCCAAAATATGAGACGGTTTCGCCAGTGTCTCTGGTGTGGTCGTACTTGAATGCTCATCCAGAGGAGCATCGTTCGCAGCATGGAAAATATCCGGAGGTTTCGTTGATGATGCATATCTGTGAGAACCATGTCGTATACGATGTTGTCTTCCATCTTCATGGATCGCTATCAAGTATATTACAAATATATTTATAATAATCCAAAACATTAGATAAATGCATTAACTACACATGCTTAACTTAAATGATTCATTCGTTTTAAAAAGGCTATATCTTCAAAAGTATTTCACGTACACACATGAAAGATATTGGAAAAGTACCACAAACTCACCAAGTTTATACACGCTCTACAAATGTTCAGTATGTGCCTCTTTGGTGACGCGGATACACGTCCAGACGATACTCGAGCTGATTTGATACATTTTGTACCATTGTTGTCCAGATGTTCGTCTTGTCAATTGGTCTGATGTCCAGAATACCACAAAAAAATTGCGTGGAAGATTTTGCGTCAACGGTTGCATTTCAAAGCGTACCATGCGTAACTCCTGCACCAAATAAAGCCGTATGATTACGCCCGTCGACAAGAGTTTTGCGTCAACATGCAGGAAGCACTGGAGGACGAAGATTTCGCCATCAAGTTGTTATTCAGCGACGAAGCATCGTTCTCCACTTCTCTGGGAAACTTGATGAAATACTGAAAAACAACTTGGTGAGTTTGTGGTTGTTTTCCTAGATTTTTATGTGTGTATGCGTAATACCTTTAAAAATATAGTATTTTCAAAATGAATGAATCATTTATGCTAGCCCTGTATTTGATGGTACAGGCAAGAGACATTTAAACGAAAAAGTACTGAATTACAGTTTTGTACATAGTAAAGCAAAATTTTAGAATATCGCTATATTCTGTGTTGGCAAGGAATCCCACTTTTCAAGGGGTTCCCATTCTTCCATTTAAGGAACCCCACTACTGCCCTGGAGTAAAACAAATTGGGTAAAAGTAGAAATGTGTTTGTGCTCTTTTGTCGTCATTGAGCCTACGAGGTTGAAAAAGATGGCATTTCATGTAAAGGAGGTACCAAAACAGGAATTCAAGCTCTTGTTTGAGTGAACGTACTGCAAAACTGCATGAATTACTTAATACTGTTTCTGCGAGGAAATGCGCCTTGCCAACAGACAAAACTGTCATTAGCGAAGGAAATTGTAAGCCTATGCGCCACGAATAGGCGATGTTAAAACTTACCATCAGCCATATTGCCGGCGACCTGGAATCTTGTTCAGATAGACTGTAAGGTATATTTTAATTTCATAACAGTTATTTTAATTTGGTTCACATTTTATGACTTTCCTAGCTTCAGCTTAACAATTCCCTAGCAGAATGTGTTTGTAGGATTCTCCACTGTGTATTTCTAAGTTACAGTTGAAAGTACAGAACCTTAAGAACTAGTAAGCAAATAATCGCTTGAGTTCGTGAGATAGAAAACAACAAGTAAGAAGGGTGAAATAACCCTTTATTAGTCCAACTAACGTTTAACAAAACTCTGCCTTTGATTTGCACAATAAAGCAGACACTAGGGCTTGAACTTAAGAGACTAAGAATTAAAATTAACTAACCTTAAAAAAAGAGATATAGTCAAAGCTATCAAGATTCTAACAGAGTTGGCCTCTTAACGCTAATAGACTGCGAAGCTGTCAAGGGACTAAAGTATGGCCGAGCGTAATAATAGCTTACGAGAGAGTAGCCTAAAAAGGCGGACGCGGCCAGCCGGAATACTTAGTATCTTTCTCACTAAGATTGTAGAACTTCGCGGTTATATACCCCTCTTCCTCATTAGTATTCAGACGTGATTCTAAAACTACGTTCTGGCCGGAAGTGGTAAATCGAAATTAAGAATCAATAGGAAAGGAAGTTTCACTCAAAATTTAACTGTTAACAAAATTAACATAATCCTTACAAGTTTTAAGAATCGCGTTCAATGCAAATAAGAAAGAGAATAGTAGTTAAGTCAAATTCAGTTGACTTCGCTAGAGAGAGTGAGGATTCCTGAGAAGCGCGCGTTTGCCTTTGCGCTACCCTGTCTAAGCTATTGCTATGCTCGGCCTTATTACGTGCCTTTTGATAGTTCGCTGGCTAACTTAATATTACGGGCCAACTAGTTTAGAACTGTGTTAGTTTCGGCTAAATCTCTTTAGTCAGTCATGAATTTTTTTCTTATTTCTTACATTTTGAGTTTAGGCTCAAGTGGAGGCTTTGCTGTACGCCCTGAGAAAGGGACCGACCGTTTACTTTAAATAAAGGGTAATCAACCTTTCTTGAGTTTACGTTTCTGTTCTTGGACTTAAGCGGTTATTCGCTTAGCAGTTCGCTAGGTTCCTCGACATTTAATTTAACAGAATAAAAGTGAGGAGCTCTATAAGATCATCAAATAATAATTCGCTTACAGCCCTGTCTTATAACCTTCAGACATTTTTGTGTCTGCGCTACTAAAAAAGTGGTTAAATGAAATTCTCTTCTCAAGCCGGACCATCAATCCAAGTCAAAGCTTCAGAAACAGTTTCAGGCATAATACAAAACTTCTTTGAGGAAGCAATTTGAATGTGGTTCATGACGAAAAGTTTTGGTCATATTGATTAACCATATATGGAATGGAACAAAGTACTTCTAAATCTTTGGCTACCTTTGAGCTCAGTGAGCCCATTGCTGCAAATTCGTCTGGGTTTTGGGAACGATATTTAGCCACACCTAATTACTCATTGGCAGCTTTCTGGCGTGCATCATTTCTCTGAGGACTTACTCGAAGTGAAAAATACAGACATTTTAGAGATTTTCTGAAAACGGAAGAAGTGCTGGTTGTTGCCGAGCTGTGTCATTCTCGGTGCAGCGCGTTGATAAGAAAGCTCGCTTTGAAAAGCGCTATGAAGTAACAAACGCTGGGATAGGAAATAGTCGCTATGAAGATGCCTGCTACTTTGGAAGGTGATGGCTGATGCTTGCACAATCGCTAGGTAATTCAGACTACCATAAGCTTCCTAAAGTAAATTCCCCTTTCTTTTTATACATTTTGGTTTTTGGTTCCATTTTATTCTACCTTCTGGGAAGATGTGACAACGCTGATTTATTCAACAACCTTTCTAAGCCGTCTTTTTTATTAGACCAAAATTTGCAGCTCCTAGGTATGGAGGATTGATGTGCTGCTCACTAAATTTTATTTTTTCAAAATTCTACTTGGCTAGTTAAAACGCGTTGTAATTTTACTCGGTTCATTATGTAAAATATATTTCGATAATTCGAAGACAATTCTTTTCAGTCATTCAAATTGTTTCGAAACTTTATTTTTCCACAAATGGTAACTTAAAAAATTTTTTACTGGGCCAAACTTTTCGGCCAAAATTATACGAGGCCAGGTTGAAACAGATAAGGATGGATGAAAATAGAGTTATAACTTATTTTTTCTCTCCTTTCTGCATGTCTTCATGGTGTATCGTTTAGCACACTCGGCGCATATTCCAGAAGTCCAGATTCGAGTCCCAGCGAGGGCAGTGTTCATTTTTCATGTCTCCAGCATCAAAAAATCCTAATGACTCTACAATGGCTTAGTGTCCACTGAGGTGAGATGTCGATTCATCACTGAAAACAACATGTTCCGTAAAATCGTCTTGCAACCACATTTCATGTGCAAAGTTGGCACGTGGTCTGTAGGCACACCGATATTCATTTAGAAAAACTCTGTATTTCCTTCCTCCTTTCCGCATGCCTTTGTAGTGTAACAGTTAGTACACTCGGCACATATTCGAGAGGGAGATCCAGGTTCGATTCCCAGCGACGGAATTGCTCATTTTTCACGTCTCCAGCGTCAAAATTGCCTAGTGACTCTACAGAGAGACTTAAACATAATTTCAATTTGCATATTGTTACCAAAAAAAATTTATTTTGTTTTGTTATATGCAAATAGGACTTGTATGGTTTTCTTGTCTTTTTGTCAATTCTAAACTGTGCTTTCGTGGTTTTGTCTCTGTCTTTTTGTAAAGTAGCTCGTGTTATCAATTCTAATTTAAGTTTTTGAAAATTCGTATGTATTAATTATTTGCTTAGATTGTATTCCACAATTCTTCTTCTGTACTAGCGAGTAACGTGATTGAGAGCTTTATATTTCTTCTTGGTTGTTTGATTTCTAACGTTATTTGGATGCACTGATTGCCTCTGGTTGTTTTAAGCGATGGTTTTCTATTAATGCACATTTGACGATATAGTGGTCATGTTTGCCCTCTTCGCCACATATACATTGATCGGAATGAGCTATGTTTCGTTCGGAAAAATAAGTGGAGAAGGTACCATGTCCTGTCTTCAACCAACTGATTCGATGATTCCGACTGTTTATGTCGAGAGTGACGAGACGTTTAAGTTGAAAGGGGGGGAGGCTTCATTTGGTATCACTATTTTTCCACTCTTTTTCCTGTAGTCATATATGTTGATAGTTTAGCTGAGATTTGGGCTAAAATGGAGTTATTAGCAGGTCTAAAAACTTCAACTTGACCCAAATGTACAGGTACACTGCGCCCCCCCCGAAAAGAAAATTATATAAAAAAGAGGAGAGTTCTATATCTCCCGTATAGCTTGATGATAATTGCTAAAAAAGAACTCCGTTGGCTGATAATATCATTAACTAAAAAGCACTCAAAATTTACAAGCACCTTAACATGGAGAATCCTCCGTGTGACTGGGCCGATTGACAAAATTCAACTTGCGTTTTTCATGTCTCTTACGAATTAGGATATGTATTAGATTTATATATAGAGCACTGTTCTAACATACATATTTTGGCACAAAATCGGACTTCTTCTGAGCATGAAAATATGTACAGGTAACCCTCCTACAACACGGCATCCGATAACACGAAAAGACAATTGACCAAGAAATCCCAAGAAATTTAAGAAACTCCGCATGAAGTTTTTCTATGTTGAGCAAAGCACCAACATAAGAAGACGGTGGCCGAATTTTGTAGGGTCTCAAAAAAAAAAAAAAAAAAAAAAAAAAGGCTCTAACTCAAATATCGGTCAGAGAAATTCTGCCTCTTCACCCCTCAGGGTGCGGGGATAGTCATTGTCGGCTCAGGCAAATTTGCAGCTTGCGTGTGATGGGTACCTGCGTAAATACGCTATTCCGGGTTGAAATAGATGATGATTTTCGATCGCATGTTTGTTTCTATCAGTTCTTGTGAAGATTGAACGCAAGCTATATATGATATCACTTGACAAGCATACAGTCGATGTAAAAGTAAGAAGATTCGTAACACGTGGAAAGTAGTAGAGTTTCACACTGAAATGGCAATTGAAGGAGATGGAAGTAACATTCCTATTTCCGGTCTTTTTAAGTAAGCCTTTCCAAACTTTTCAACGTTTAAAAAGTTAACGCATAAGAATCTTTGTTTCGTAAGTCCTGCCAGTTGTCTTGCAAGATCCAGTTCCGATAAAAACAAAAATCCTCAGGAAGACGAGCCACATGGGGAAGACCGGCTGTTAAATTTTTCACTGGTAACAAGTGAAAAGTGTTACCTTCCATGACCGTCAAAGTATAGTACAACAGAAACAATGACCAGTCAAAAAAGACCAAAGCCATCAGATAACAATAAAGGAATCTCACTATCGCAGAAACTGAATGACGCGAGGTCACAATTAAGGGTTCCAAAACACACAACTTGACCTACGTGGTCTGAAAACAAAAGCGTCTCACGCCGATGATCTCACGCTGATGCCATGGTGTGTTAAAGCATAACTTTTTGCATTAAGTTTCAGTCGCAAAATATGCCCAATAAAGATAAAAAACAAAGTTTAAGAGAAAATTTATTTCTTTAGAAGTAAAGATGCAAATCTTGGATCGTCTTTTAAAACGAGAAAAGGCATCTCACATTGGAAAACGTCTTAATTTCAATGAAGCAACAGTCCGGACCATTCAGAAAAATGGACCATCAAAGAAAAAATGAAGAAGAAATAAGAAGTGCAGTTGCTGCAGGATCTTCGACATCCGCAAAACGTGCAGCTCGCCCGCGGGCGCCAATAATTGAGAAGATGGAAAAGGTACCCAGCATTTAGCTTGATGATAATTGTCAAAAAAGGAACTCCGTTGGCTGAACATATCATTAAATAGAAATCACTCAAAATTTACAAGCACCTTAACATGGAGAATCCTCTGTCAACCCAGATTTTGAGGCAAGTAAAGTTTGGTTCGAAAACTTCAAAAAGCGTTTTGCCATTCATAACATATGCATTCAAGGGTAATCTGCATCGGCTGATTATGAAGCTCCTAGGACGTTTCCTGAAAAAATTCAAAATATTACAGAACAGCAGGGATACACAGCAGATCAAGTTTTCAATGCCGACAAAACTGGACTGTGGTGAGAAAAAATGCCCAGTAGAACCTATATATCAAAAAAAGAAAAAGGAGAAGAAGGTGCCAGAACTTTAAATGAAGAAAAATATTCTGAAAGTGAAAGCGATCTCATTCTATCGAAAAAACGTTCTCGGTTGACTATACTGAGCAATGACGACAAAGAAAATTAAAGTTGCGTTAAATTCAAATAATATTTTTGATTTTATGTTGTACATAGACTTTTATTTTTAATAAAAATTAAGTTATTTATGTAGAATTAAAAAAATACTTGATTTCAATAAGTTTTCGGAACATAACCCCCCCTTTTTGTACTGCTTCTGGGTCTAATACAACACGGTTTCACACAACACGGCATTTTCTAGGAACCTATCTATCGTGTAATAGGAGGGTTACCTATACTTCGATAAAGGTAATTTTGTAGCATGTGCTGCAGATCTGGGCTGCTACACATACAATAAAGAAACGTATATTAATACCAACACACACGCGCGTACTTATATACACACACACAAAAGCATTTTACCTGTCTATATTTTAAACCTAAGGTATTCTTCAGATTTTCTTTGATTTAAAAATTGTTAAGTAACACGCATAACCAACAATAAAAAGAAAATGTATTTCTTTAGAAGAATATTGAAAAAGAATGTCAAATATTACCATGATCTTTTGGCAGAAAGTACTGCCTGGTATCTTCATCGAAATCCATTAGGATTGAAGACGCACGAAACAACTGGTCTGTGTCAGGAGGAGAAAGAATGCGGCTTCCCGGAACTAATATTCTTACTTCCGCTTCAGGACGCCTAGAACTGATTGGATGGCTTCTGGTGTCGTGTCGTTGAGGGCCTATCTTTGGTATTATAGATGCTTGAATTTGCTCCCTTTTTCCTGAAGTGATTGGATCGCCTTGTTTGATCTTCCTGTCATTCAAGTGAACATGTTCGTCACTAAGTTGAGAGAAAGGCCTAACATTATTTTCCTCAATTAATAGATAAATTATTTAAACTTATTTAAGTTCAGAGTCAGTATATTGTACATTTGTTTTCATTATGTCTGCTAACTGACAAACATGAAAGGTTAAAAAGTATGCAAAAAAATTATTCACAAAATCTCAGTGGGCAGAGATGCCAGCATTTAACCTGTCGCCCCTTTTCGCATAGAAACTTACGTGAGTCGTCGGCAGTTTAACAATGTTTCACAGTGTTCAAATATGTAAAGCGCCACTTCCGATACGAACACATATTATAGGGTGAAATTAATGTACGTAACATTTCATTGCTTTAAATAGGAAAAATATATTTAACATAGATTAAAATTTTAGGGTTTGAGCATAAAAAATATTTTATATGCAATTGAAAATAAGGAACCAAAAAATTAATAGATATACTTAAATATTTAACTACAAATATATTAGAATCCATAAATATTGTTGCATGCGTACGGGTTTGTAATAGACTGAATGCGCAAATCCGATAAAAGATTAATAAATTTTTATTCTTATCGCAAGAAATATAATAAAATGCTGGAAATTTCCTCAGAGATATTGTTACAAGTATTCACAATATCAGACACTCATAGTCAGTAGAACGCAATACAACCAGTAGCTATACTTCGTACTACTAAAAACGTTAAAATACAATGCAGTTCAAAGAGAAAGAGAAATCTAATTCAGATATCTCATTTCGCGCGAACCTAAAACAAATCGGAATAACAGTAACTAAGCAACTGAGCTGAGATATTCTCTCTCCGGTTTTTAATAGCTTTTAATCGGTCGCGAAAAATTTCTGCTAATTTCATTGCTTCTCGTGATTTCTGAAAACCAACAAGACGATGGAATTACGGTTACAGCTAACACAGCAGTCAATTACATTGATTAAATTTCAATACAAATTAAAGACACATTCATTTATTCAATGTTAAATGCATGTGCTCCTATATTTTTATCGGTACAGATTTCTTTTAAAACTCATCTAGCGCTGCACTGCACGGGGAAATAAAACAATTTCAATTATAATTCTACTAACATCAGCTATCTAAATACAAAATTCGTAACAATATTTTAAGGGCATAAATCCCAATTTTACTATAAACTGATATTTGCAAAGATGATGACTATTTTTCAAAAACTTTCACTATATGTTCAAACCGCTCACGGGAAATTATATCCCGTAAGGAAATTTGTAATATTTGAATCTGGCGATTGCAATGCTCTGAAAAAGAGAAATGTGTGACGCGATATCCAGGTACCTGAGACAGCTTAGCTCGGTGTTGTAGTATAAATGGAGTGAATAAATTTTAGATTTCACACCTTACTCGCCAGATCTGTCATCTCTTGAATTGTTTCCTTTTATTACCGCCTAGGCGGGTTAGTGGCTAGTGACTGAAATTCTTCCATGGGTGACCAATGATATTAACGTTTCAAAAAGGTCTAATAGTGAAATGTCATTTTGACAGATGCTATCCATTGCCTCGGGTAGGGCTAGCGGTTCAGACAGCATTTATTGAAATTCAAAATAAAAGAGTATATATAGTATGTGGCAAACAAGGCCCATGTAAAATGCACAGTTATATATATAGTTAAACTATATAGGCATCCGAGTTCTTTTATTAACATAATCGCATATATATACATACGTATTGATTTATGTTTCTGGTCTAAATAATGTTACTACAGCTTGAAAAGATATATAACTAAGTATATAACAAGATGCGCGTATGCGCCTGTGTTTCTTATATATTATTTATATATCAAATAATTAAAAAACAATTGTAGAAACATACTCTTTTCGATATTGTATTAACAAAAAAATTTTGCGCTGATTACATATAAAACTCGATTACATATATAAGCAATAAAACAATTAACAGCTTCAATTATGTATAATTTGTGCATATTGCCACACTACTATATGTGCTGGCTGTTATACAAACTGAATTATCTGCGCAAATAAACTATCATAAAGACGCTTGGTTAAATAAATACATGCTATATTATGCATTGTTCCATTGCTGAAATGAAGCCAATAATTAATGTTACGGATTTGGTATTGAAATAGCTAATGTTAATATTTGGAACGTTCTTGCAGATACTCTTTTCAGTATTGCAAATGAATTTCATGCCATCAACTCTGTAAATCAGCGTATAACGAGAAAATATATCTTTGTTTATATAATTTGTGATATAATTTTAGCGGTTATTCAACTGCTTTTAGAAACTGAAAATGAAAGAAGATATAACAAAAATTACTGAAGTAAACAAATACAACAAAAAAATATAGAAAAAAGACAAAACAAAAAATGCTGAAATTCACTGAAAATACAAACTGAAACCTAAAATGAAGAACATATAACAAAAAATAATGGAACAAAATACAACAACTAAAAATGTTGAAAAAAAAAAATTTAAAAATACTGAAATTCACTAAAAATACTGATATGGGATTACAAAAATTACTGAAATCTAGATTTTACATTACGTCCCAAAGGGGCGTTTTTTCAATGTTTTGCGGGTTACCTTTATTTATTAAATAACATATTTTTCGCACTTAAAATTCAGTTCAACAACAATATCACAAAATAATTTTAAAATGAGTTATAGCTTTAGAATTTCCGATACACAATCTAGCGACTCTAGCGTGCTGGAGATAATTTTTTTTCATATAGTGTTGCAATTCCTCGCTTTGAAATCGTTGAGCTTCTTAATCGAAAATTCTTTATTGTCTGACAAAATATGAAATAGATAATCAAACAAATTCCAAATAAGTGCTTTCAAATGCTTATATTCGGATGACGTTATTCAAAATTACTTGGCTCTAGGTACCGTCGTTTTATCACAATGCGAGAAATATACATACATTTATGGAGGTTCTTCATTATTTAATTTCTTTATAATACAGAGTTGTAACAGTCAGTGGCAACAGTTTGAAAAGTGAATCAACTCAGAAAATGAATCGACGCAAAATGCCAAAACTACATTAATAGCCCTTCTGGTCTAACGCCTTTGGGGTTAATAAATTGTACGCTTATGATCACTAGAAACTTATCTCATCGAGATTTTGTACCCTTCTTTGGTTTTAGATATTAACACAATCAGACTCTTAAGCACACATCAACGTAGCAGATTGAAGTTTAGGCCTGCAATTTACCCTCATAATGAAACCGACTCAGAGCGATAGACAGCATTCATAAACTTCAGGTATAAAATGAACGAAAAGCAGTGCACTATATGCTGATGTTATAGCGGCAAGCAAAACAGGATGTAAAAGTACTTAATCAATACAAATATATCAACTGAAATGAAGTGCATAAAATAAAGTTAGTAAATGTGAACTATTTATACACTCTGCTTTACAGAACATCTTACAAAATGTAAAAATAAAATTAACGTTTTTTTCGCACTTGAGTGTGAAGTTGTTATGCAGAAAAATATGTAACAGACTTTGAGTAATGTATTTCAAAATAAAACTTTCTGATATACATCTGCCAGATCTATGAAAGCAGGACGTTTCAAGGATATAATGAGCTCCAATTGTAGGTATTGACGGTGATAAATCACTTTCTATAACCTCTGGCTAAAAGAAGGAACATTATAATGAACTTTGCGAGTTAAAATATATGCATCTATCAGTTGGCTCTGGGGTAAGAAATAAGAATAGTTTCTCAACTGCCAAAGGGCAACCTCATTCAACTTTCAAAAAATTTCCAACTTAACAAAAAAGTAGCCGGTAGAACAGCTTTGCAGTTTCGTCTCTGAACAGGATTTATTTTTTTAAATAGCTTGATAACCTGTACTTTATTATGATGCATAGGGAGCATAAATTTATCTTAATTTACATCTGTTATGTTTTAGATGAATCACTGAGAGCCTATAAAATGATTTCATGACTCACTTCCCGGTCACATTACATGAAATCGTAAATTTTCCTAAACATTTATATTTGCGTCCAATTTTTTGTTTTATAAGGTTTATATTTATTTGAATTAAATAGCAAAAGAAACTACACTTCGATCTAAGTATCATAAATGCAATTTTTCAAACCTATACTGAAAAACTTAAAGTATTTTCCCCCTCCTTTCTGCATGCCTCCGTGGTGTAATGGTAGCACACTCGGCGCGTATTCGAGAGGTCCAGTTTCGAGTCCCGGCGAGGGCATTGCTCATTTTTCAGGTCTCCTACTTAAAAACAAACAATCCTAATGACTCTACAGTGGCGCCCGAACTAAATGTGGTGAAGGACGATTCTTCACCACCAGGATTTCGCGATTGCCAAATCCCTTAATTTCGAGTCACCCTTTAAAAGGAGGGAGCATATAAGGTATTTTCTCCCACCTTTACGCATGCCTTTGTGTTGCAACGGTCGCACCTTCGGGAGGTCGAGGTGCTAGGGCATTGCCCATTTTACACTTTTCCAGCATCAAATAAAAATAAATAAATAAAATAAAAAAAAAAAAAAAACTAATGACTCTGCAATCTTCTCCTTCCTCTGTTTCATCGTCATTTGTTAAATAATTCTGTTACAGAATGCAATGTGACAGATGTTTCAAGGGCACTTAAATATATTAATGATATTCATGCAGATAAATAAATGCACAACAAATAAAATAACCCACTAACTACGTTAAATATCAACTACCACAAGTACCCACGTTCTCTTTAGAAATAAGCAGGAAAATGAATACAAAGCATATAAATAATATCCAAGCTAGTAAGAATGCACTAAACAAATGACTATAAATTAAAATCTCATCAAAATTAAGATTCCAGTTGAAGCTGATTGAAACAAATATTTTCACTCTAAAACGAGCTAACAACGAAGATAAAGGCAGTTAACATTATCAAATGCAACATTTAGTCCCGCTAAAATCCATGTGTCGTATAAATGCATTACATCAAAACACGTGTTACGGAGCTAGTTGTTATTCGTTTCAGAGAGATGATACTGAGCTCCATTCTTTTAAAAATAAAGGCAAAACGTAAACACTGAAGTCAGCTAAAACTGAGAACACTTCAAAGACAACTTAGGAATAAATATAGAACTTAAAGTAGACGAGAGTGAGGTACTCATTTTTGCCAGAAACTTATGATTATTCGACAAGGTGGGTGGTATTAACGAAGCTTGTCAAAAGGAATGACGTTGGGAAGGAACAATGCTGTAGTACGCAAATAAAATTAAATTGAAAGGAATAAATGTTGGTGAGGTAAGAGACGAGAATACAGTCATTGTGGCAATATCAAATTTGGAACTGCAAAACGGGTACAGATATTTTCTGAAAACAAAGGTGACAATTTTAATAAATTTAAAATCTCACATACGAAAATTCTCTCTCGATTCAACATTTTAAACTTTTGTTTCGTATAGAAAGAATAATAGCCCGCAAAGCAGGTTTAGGGCTGCCAGAAAATGGGATATTCGGGTTGCCGGATTTGGCTCGAAATCGATCATTTGGCGACATTTGAGGATAAAATTGGACTTAGACGGATGAAGAACCTTCTAGAACGAATTCTTAACGTTCTGTCCCAGATTGTTCTCGAAGGCAGGGCGAATGCTACATAACTCCTGCTGGTACGAGGAGTAGTGAGTGCCTCGTAGCCTATCGAGTTGACCGTTAGTCTAGTGTCGAGTTGGTCGTCAAGTGTATCGCCAATTAGTGCATCGTTGAGGCTGTCGAGTGCATCGCGAGTTGTAGCGTGAAGAGTGTCGAGAGTACGTTGAGTTCCGAGAGCGACCGAACCGAATCGGAGGCTGTAGTCTAGTGCTTTGCCGTGAAGCTATCTTCTCCGTTATAGCCTGTGTTGCTGATTGTTTCAGCGTGCTTGTCGTAGTTTTCGACAACTGTAAACGTGTTTTGGGAGCTATCCTGAGTAGTACTGTCAAATAAATTGTGTTTTGATTCTTCATCAAGTGTTGTCGTCAATCTCTCCAAATCCGCGAACCCGTAAGGCGCAACAATAGGGTCGAATACAGATACCGTTACATAGGAATCGGCCCATTGGCGAGATAGAGCCAATTTGGCAAGGCAAATTTTTTACCTCATTGTAAATGAATGGATCCTCGTAACCTTATTTTTTTCTATTATATTTCGCACTATGAAGACTTTCATACTATATTATACAAAGATACTACAATTTATATATAATTTTGCTACAACTGTTTACATATATGCAAAATTCGTAAAAATATGTACTTACTGGTTAGCATGATTTCCAAGGACGAAATGTTCGCTGAGATACAAGCCAACTGCTGCAAAGAAACAAGGAATCAAATAGTAAGCTATGAAACTCCATGAAAATTATTAATTTAAAACAACAAAATATTATATAAAAGAAAGAGATTCTTAAATTACTAATCCCCAATTTTCTTTCATATCTTTCTAAGAATATTTCTGTAACTTATCAGAATACCTGATATGGGAGAACGATAAATAAAAATCTTTATAATGTTTCAAATCAAGATTAAAAATTTTCAGGATCACATTGATTGTTCTAAAAGTTTCAGTAATTTCCCTTTCTAAATATATGGAAGGCAGTTATGGCATCACAATCAAAGATCCAGGCGAAATTATTACCCGCGCAAATTATCTGAGCATCAATACTTTCATTTAAATGCACTATTTAATCATTTAATAGAAACTTAAAAACCACGTAAACGCCCATGCAGCCATCCCGTTCCCGAGATTCGAACCTCTGACAGAACTACCAGTGTTCAGCGACTTTACCACTAGGCCGCTGATGGGCCCGACAAGTTAACTCTTTTGCATCGAAGTCGCCCCAAACGCCCGAGCATTCAGATATCGGCTGGACGCCCAGAACGCCTGAATAATTTCATACCTACTGCTTTCCTCCCGTCACGTTACTGCATTACTGATTGCTTTTAGGTGTTGTTAAATGACATGTCAATCATTCTTGCACCTTCTCTTTCCTTTGTTTACTGTCAGCGTTTAGCTTTTGATGCCCGAAGTTGCAATCCCGTCCCGAGAGGGAACTTCATACAGGGTGAAAGCGTCCAAGAAAGAAGTTCTCGCTTTACGTATATTATTGTTAGTGCTGTAGTATTCAACTTGTCATGGGGGAAGAAAAGGCTTTCCAGGAGAAATTCTTAGACACGGGCGTTATCGCTGTTTGAGGAAAAGAGATTTTGCCCTCTTTCGATGCGAAAGATTTAAATAATTTAGGCAGTGTAATTCGAGAGCTACCTGTCTATCGGGAAGGATCTCTTCATGAAGGACCATTTTTAAGAGAAAGTGGCTCATATCTACATGGGGGGGGGATCACGGAAACGTCCACGCAGTCAGCTCGTTTCGTCGAAATTCGAGCTCGGAGGGAAGTACCAGTATTCAGCGAATTAACGCTCGGCCACTAGTAGACCTTGATTATAAAGAAAACACTATGAACTTCTCGATTAACGCTTTGTCTGAACAAGAATAGACTTTAATATGCAATGTTTTTAAGAAATGATGAGGGAAAACACAGTTTCACATAACAATGAAACAAATATAGAATGGGTTGTATTAATTATTACGGCAAATTTGTCTTTTTTGATGCTATAATTTTTTAAGGGCCAGACTACTTTATTTGTTTACTTCTTCTTCGTAGCACCAAGCCCTTGATGACGATGTAGGGAAAGATGTGAATATCATTTTTCGTTTTTGGTTTTAACCCCCTATTTCTTGAGAATTTTCACTGTGCTTCTGTTTTTTAGTTTTCGCATGGGGTTTATTTATTTATACATATATTATATACTTATAGTAAATATAGATTAAATTAAATTAAAACTAAATGGGCAAATTGAAATTGTATTAATTTAAAAATAACTCGAAAAAAAACATACTTTAAATCAAATAATACACTGCGATGAGCTGTGATTGTTTCAACTCACGCTCTGAACTTTAAAACTATTTAATGTTATTCCATTTGAAAGTTTTATCATTTTCCTGTATGTTATTGTTAGGTGTTGATAAAACGTCATTTAAAATTAACTCCTAAAATGCTTATTGATTCTTATAAGTATTAATACTATAAAGAAAATTGGAGCTCAACTCGCGGCAGCAGTATAGAGTAGCAGAATGCGTTGGATTTACTTTTATTTCAGGATACTTCATACAGATGTTGCGATAACCATTTTGTTGTCTTACATGAAAGGAATGGATCTTCTTACCCCAGAGGTACATTGCTAACATCTACCCCGATGTGTATAATTAAGATAAGTAATCTTGATTTAAAACTATTGAATAATATTTGATTATTTGTAGTATTAGAACATTAATTGATTCTAAGTTGTGTCCAATGTGTGAATTGTAAGTAATATGAACCAGCAGTGTTTATTTCCAATTATTTCGAAGTTGATTTCTTTTGTATGACCCTAAGGGCTTCAAATTATCAACAATATCTAAAGACTGAAGGACGAATTTGAATACATTTAAAATTCAAACAAGTATAAAATTAGAATATTAGGTTTTAGCAGCCATAGTGTGCACTTTACGACTGTTTTTAAATTTCACAAAAGTCAAAGTGTCCTTTTTGGGTAAGGGAAGAAAAGAAGATTTAAAAATTCTTGACCTTGAACTGGATTTAGTGGTGGCAGACAATCTAAAAGAACAATTAAAAGAACTCATAACGAAATCCGATAATTATGATGAAGAATTAGTGAAACATATGTTAACTAATATAACAGAAGAACGACTTGAGAACGAGAAAGAACGTATTGCTCAAGAAGAAGCTAAGGAAGAGAAATTAGTCAAAGAAAAAGAAGAAGAGCGAGCTGATGAATTCTAACGCTTGAGACTTTAACTTGAAGTTGAGAAGACACCTCTCTCCACTATAGCAGGTCCTGTTGTTGAGGTTGAAAAACCCAGTTGGGATCTTGAGAGAATTTTACCTAACTATGATCCTAAGGATAATGGCATTGGCCTCGTTCCTAAATCTTTTTGAGAGGCAACAAAAGTTCTTAAAGGTTCCGGAAGAAACTTGGGTTCCGTATTTAGTGGGATCGTTACCAACAGAAATTGGAAAATTGATTGCTCGTGAACCAGAAGAGGAATCTAGTGGTTATCAAAAGATAAAGGAGATGCTCCTAAAGAGATAAAGGGTGTCCCAAAATTAACGCAAGATTTGAATTAAATTAAAAAAAAACAGTTTTTTTTTATTTAAATTGTTATTTTTTTATTGAATCGTAGAGTACACAGGATAGGGTTATGTATGGAATAACACACGGGCAAATGGCCTCAACGGCTTTGCTGTCACATACTCACACTTCTGTCGAAATTTTCCATGACCATTTCTGCATAAATGTGGCTGAATTTCCGTTGATGCAAGCGTTTCAATTTTATCCTTCAGTGCACGCGTGCTTGTCGGCCTGTTGACATAAACCTTTGACTTCAAATAACCCCATAAGAAGAAATCTAATGGTGTTAAATCACACGATCTAGGGGACCGATTTTCGTCACCGAAACGAGAGAGTATACGGCCAGGAAATGTCTCATGCAGTAATTGAATTGTTTCAAGGGCAATATGGCATGTGGCACCGTCTTGTTGAAACCGAATGTCGTCCACATCAATATCCTCCAATTCAGGCAGAAAGAACTGTGTTATCGTGGCGCTATATCGAGCACCAGTAACTTCATTGCTTGACTAGCTTTACGCTCCAATGATGCCTCTAGCCCAAATTCCGCATCCGACAGTGACATTTTAAGGATACATTTGTTTTCCGACAACCACATGTGGGTTCACTGAATCCCAAATGCAGCAGTATTGAAGACTAACAAAGCCATCAAGGTGAAAATGGACTTCATCGAAATTTACGAACTGTGGCAGCCAGACTTTCAGTGTTTTTGACATATTTTTCAACAATGAAAACATGTTGTACTATCGTGTAATGCTTCTTTTCTTCTAAGCCTAAACTATCAGCTGTCAAATGGGTTTTTAATAGGGTTGCCAAAACTTTACTGCACGAAGAGTGGCAAATTCAAATCTTGCGTTAATTTTGGGACACCCTTTATAAGCTCACCGCTGATAAATTTCGACAACTGTTTGCTCTACGTCGGAAGAAATCAGAAAGTACTTGGCGCGATTTCTACTTTGAATTGACCAGTTTATTTTGAAAATTGGCTTAGAGAATTAAACATTACAAAATTTGATGATTTGAAGCTGCTCATTATAACTAACCAAATGAAAAAGAGTTTCTCGAGAAATAAGAGATCATTTTTTGGACATTTGGTCGAAATTAAACTCGCCCGCAGAATTAGCAGAAATGTTGGACACTTACGATTGCTTACATAATAATCAGAGCTGCAATCTCACCAACTCGAAAGAAAATTCCAATTCGGAAGGTGGTATCCCAAAATCCACGCCAGTGAAGAGGACATGTACCAATATAGCAGATAAACCAGCCCTCTCTTGCTATGGTTGTGGCAAAGTTGGATTTACAAAATCAAAATGCCCAGATTGTTAGCACGCCACGAGTTCAGCCTCAGCTCGTTTTGACAACATTTGTATACAAAAGTTAAGCAATACTAAGACAACTGCAGTCATGAATATCTCCATCAATGGAATATATGGCACGGCTTGTGCTGATAGTGGAGCAATTTCGGCTCCACTATCAGCGGCACCAGCCACTTTCCAAAGATTAATGGATGTTTTCCGGAATGGGTTAAAGGTCAACACTGTTCCTTATCGCGACGGTATTATTGTGATGTCTTCTACTTTTAAGAAGCATCTCGAAGACTTATGCTTAGTCTTTGATCGACTCTTCAAATTCAAGCTTCATACCAATCGAAACAAATGTCATTTTGCTTGCTCTAAAGTGAAATATCTCGGACATTATATCACAAGTTCTGCAATTGAAGTAGACTCTGTCAAACTAAAAGTCATTCAACAGATTCCTTTGCCAAAGAATGTGAAGCAAGTACAGAATGTCCCTCAGACTTGCAGCTGGTATCGACGCTACATTCCTAATTTAAAGAGATCTCAAGACCATTGAGTAATATCACGAAGAAGCACTCCACTTGGAAATGGAGACCAAGAGAGAACATTTCTAAGACTGTTGCGTAAAAGAATCAACGAAACAATTCTTCCTCTGGCTACTCACCGAGACGTCTTCGTAGCCGGGGGGAAGACTGTAACAAATGAGTATCGTCGGCAACGCGCTCTACCGACGATATAGAGAAAATACTCAGTTCAATGCACGCGAGCTGCAGAAGTGAGATGTGATTGTTTGAACTCACGCTCTGAACTTTAAAACTATTTAATGCAATTTCATTTTACAGTTTTATCGTTTTC